TCAGAATTCTTCTTTTCGGTACCCGGGATTGAACCCAGGGGCACTTACCCACTGAGCCCTGTCCCCAGCCCTTGGCATGTCTTATTCAGAGACAGGGTCTCCCTGAGTTGCTTGGGGCCTCACTAAGCTGCTGAGGCTGGCCTCCAACTTGCGATCCTCCTGCCTCGGCCTCTTGAGCTGCTGGGATGACAGGTGTGGGCCATTGTGCATATGGGCATTTATTTCACAGAATTTAAAATAAATAAATAAAAGCCGGGTACAGTGGGTCACGGCAGGCACAGTGACTCACGCCTGTCATTCCAGTGGCTCGGGAGGTTGAGGCAGGAGGATCGTGAGTTCGAAGCCAGCCTCAGTAAAAAGTGAGGCCTTAAGCAAGTCAGCGAGGTCTCGAACTAAGAGACAAACAGGGCTAGGGAGGGGGCCCAGGGGTCAAGTGCCCCAAGTTCAATCTCCGGAGCCACAAAAATAAACAAAGATCAACTAAATGAAACAGGGCACCCGTTAAAGACGGCGGTGACCACACGTGATTTCGCCTCTTGGTCGAGGCCTGGTTCTTGTGCAGATGGGTCAGAAACCCGCGGCCTATGTCCCTCTGGTTCTGTGTGACGGGCCACCTGGGCTGCAGGAGCCACCACAGAGCAATTTAGAGGAGGATCGCAATTTAGAGGCCAGCCTCAGCAACTTAGCAGTGAGGGCGAGGTGTTGTCTGGGACCTCAGAGACTGGACGTCCAGGGTCGAGGTGTGGCCCTGAGGCCTCCTCCTGCAGTGGCTGTCATCCTCTGTGTCCAGATGGTGTCTCCCCCGTCCCTCTCTGGGTCTTAGTCCGAGGACACCAATCATGTGGGGAGAAGGGAGAAATGGTGGGGGACCCTGGTGTTGGTTGAACCCAGGGGGCTCGACTGAGTTACATCCCCAACCCAACCCCCTCTTTTTTTTTTTTTTTTTTTGATATGGGGCCTCACTGAGTTGCTGAGGCCGGCCTCCAACTTGTGATCCTCCTGCCTCAGCCTCCCGAGTCACAGGGGTGACAGGTGTGCATCCCTGGCACCATTGTAGCAGCGATTTCTTGGCACCAGACCCCTGATCTGGGGCAGCCAGGGGAGTGGCATCAGGAGCAGGAGGGAGGGACGTGAGACGGTGGTGACTGGCTAGCCGCCCAGGCCCAGCAAGCCCAGTGCCTGGCCCTGATAAGGGGGGGTGTGACCAGGGACCTTATCCCTGGTAGCAGAGCTGGGAGGGGACCTGCCCTTCACGTCCCTCCCTTCTCCAGGCAGCACAGGACCCCCTCTGGCCTCCCGCAGAGTGGACACTGACGTCCTCACACCAACGCTCGCAGGGAACAGGGGACGCGCTTCCCCAACCCACCAAGCAGGCCCTGGCCAGGGAGGAGAGGGCCACAGGCGGATCTGAGAGGTCCCTGCAGGCCTGAGTGCGGGGTGGGCGTCTCCCCGGAGCGCAGGACTCCCCGAGTCACTGGCCTGTGGCACTGGTGACACCCGGAGGTCCACATGTCCCCTGTGACCTAGGTAGGGGCTCGGAGCACCCCCTAATTGAGGCAGACGCACAGGGGGCCTGCAGCTCTGTGGGCCGCCCTCCTCCAGGGCCACCGTGGGACGTCCCAGCTTGGCTCAGTTGGTCCTGCCTGGGCTCCGGAGGCTGGAGTGACCTGCGAGGCTGGGTGGCCGTGGAGGGGAGAGTGGAGACCTTGGTTTCTGTTGCCTGATGGTGAGGCGGGCAACTGTGCCCTGGCCTGGGAGCTTATAAAGTAGTGCCCACTGGCCCGTGTTCCCACTAGGATGACCACCTTGAGTTTGGTCCCTTGTGCACCCCTTGGATGGGTGGTATTCTTTATCGGGAACCCTCCAATAAGAGACAGGAGCTAGCAACCTTCAAGTCCTGTCACTCTCACGCAGCACATCTACAAAATAGTAAGTCCAGGCGGGCGCAGGGGCACTCACCTGTCATCCCAGTGGCTCTGGAGGCTGAGGCAGGAGGATCGCAATTTAGAGGCCAGCCTCAGCAACTTAGCGAGGCCCTAAGCAGCTCAGGGAGACCCTGTCTCTAAATAAAATATAAAAATGGCTGGGACGTGGCTCAGGGGTCAGCGCCCCTGGCGTCAGCCCCTGGTGCCAACAGCAACAGCAGCAGGTTGTCCTTTATGCAGGGAGAACTGCGTCAGGGTGAGGAGACCCCCCTGGGGGGACAGCGCGGCATGGGGCACCAGGCTCCCACTGGCCGGCAGTGGGCAGCTCCAGCCCAGGGGCCTTGGCTTTACCAGGAACCCGTTGGTCAGCAAAGAGCATTTAGTCAGAGCTGACGGGTGTTCTGGGTCATGGTTGGGTCACCTTTTCATGATGACAATTGTTCTGGTCACCTCCTTCCACCCCACTGGGCAGGGTGGGAGGGCCGCCTGGGGGAGGGTGCACCAGGGGTGACGGGGACAGCAGTTATGTGTCCCCCACACGACCTGGCGGGGAACATTCTGTGCCATTCAGGGAGGCCACACCCGGGAGCAGAGTGGGCACAGGGTGCGGAGGCCGGTGGGGGAGCAGGCGGGGGCCCTGGTTCCTGGGGGATGGGAGTAGCTTGTTCGAATGACTCCAAGGTCTGCCGGGAACTGAGGGCTGGAACTCGTGTAAGAGGCAGAGAGCATGGTGTCCACGGGAATAGGACGGGGAGGTCTAGAAGCCCTGTGTGTCCCCCGATGTTGGGACAGCAGAGCATCACGGTCACGTTCAGTCGGGCGCAGTGGCCCACACCTGTTATTCCAGCTGCTGGGGAGGCTGAGGCAGGAGGATCGTGAGTTGGAGGCCAGCCTCAGCAGCTCAGTGAGACCCTGTCTCTAAATACAAAAGGGGCTGGGGTGTGGCTAGGGGACGAGCACCCAGGGTTCAACCCCAGAACAGAAAAAGAGTGGCCACCTGCCTCGGGACCTGCCCGGGTCAAGGTGACCCTGAGAGAGGGACCAGGTGTCCAGCAGTTCTTGCTGCGGAGTCCATGAAGTGTGTTCTAGTTGTGAGGCGCTCCAAGGACCCTCCCCTAAAACGCACCCCTCGCAGGTCCTGTTGCCCAGCCCAGCCCTCAGGATTCTCTTCTGTCCCCTCTGGGGGTTTGTCCCTCCCCTTTCAGTGCTGGACATTGAACCTAGGGCTTAGGGTAAGCTCAGCAGGGTTCCTGCCACCAAGTCACACCCAGCCCTCCTCAGGGGCAGGACTGCTGGTGGGCTGGAGGCCCCGAGGGGGACAGGGCTTCTCTAGGGTCACCCAGGAAAACGCCCTCTGCTGCCCCTGCACAGCCCGGCGTCCACCCCCGCCGAGTCTCCCTGAGCCCTGCAAACTAAAATCCCCTTCTCGAGCCTCTGGGCCGGGACCCAGTGGGCCACGCTGAACCCTGATGTTCTCAAGGGTCTCAGGACAGTAGGGTTTCCCCCTCACGAGATCACGGTTTTTCATTTGTTTCTGGTGACAGTTGATTTGATGGTTATAAAAGCAGGTGACCGCATTGGGCTTGGCAGTGTAGGCCTCTAATCCCGGAGGCTGGGAGGCTGGGGCCGGAGGATCACAGTCCAAGGCAGCCTCAGCAAGTTAGTGAGGCCTTACCTCTAAAGAAAAGGTAAGTAGGGCTGGGGCCAGGGCTCAGTGGACGAGGGCCCCTGGGCCCAAGCCCTGGTGCCCCAAAATAAGAAAGCAAGCCATCTTGTCACGTTGCAGGGACAATGACCAGAGTCGCTCACAATCCTACCCGTGCAGCCAGAGAGTGCCACCTGACCACGTGGTTCTTATCCTTCTGGACTTCTCTGTGCATGTGAGAGCCGTGGACGGGCCGTGTCCCCAGGCCCAGGGGCAGGTCTGCGGGATGCAGAAGGCGGCCCTGAGCATTGTGGGATAGGAGCTCCCAGGCTGTGCTGAGAGGCCACGGGACAGGGACGGGCCTGGGGACTTGGGGCCAGTAGGAGGTGCAGAGCGGGTCCCCAGGAAGTTCCTTCGGGGGCTCATGGCAGGTGGGTGCGTCTCTCCAGATGGTGGAGCGCTCTGTCGCCCTTTCCCAGGGAAGGAGGGGACAGCCGGGGGACGGGGGACAGCCACCTCCTGGGCACCCTGTTCACACAGAGAGTAGGCTCTGTGTGGAGGAGACGGCACGGCCACGGGTCACGGCAAAGGTGCTGTGTGGTTTGCAGCTGGCCCGGGTAAGGGACATGGATCCAGCTAGGGGTGGTCACCATTGGGTTGGAGCAGATCCCCTCTGCAGCAGGACGCTGGTGAGAAGTGGGCAGGGCCCAGCTGTCCCCAGCACCCGCTTTGTGCTAGTGATCGGTGGGAGGCTGCCCGGGTCAGCACGGGTCTCTGCTGTGGCCCCGGAGCCCGTCCTTCTGCCCTGTGCAGCTCCTGCAGGGTGACAAGCAGGTGCCCATCTGGCTCCCAGGGTGGCGGGCGCAGGGCTAGGGGGCACGCAGGGGAGTGGCCGGCTGCCCGCGAGCCCGGGACCCCAGGTCAGGAGGCTGTGTCCAGCCCCCAGCCCAGGGCTGCTGCAGGCTGAGGCCTCTGAGTGACACCCGACCAGCCTCTGCTCCTGGTGCCCGAGGAACATGCAGGGGACACGTCCACCCACAGGAGGCGGGGCTTCCCCGGGTGGCCCTTCTATCCTGCTGGGTCAGGGGCACAGGGCAGGGCCTGGCCCCGCTAGTAGGAGAAAGCGAGGTCACCTTGACACGTCACCTGGGCTTTCCAGAGAGAGCCGGGATGCTGTGGCCGTGGGCCCCTGGACACTGCCATCGAGTGACCCCAGGACATGGCGTCCTTCCTGGAGGCCCATAGAGTCCTTGGCCTTGACCTGCAGGGGCCCTGGGCTGCCTGGGAGGTGGGCTGTGGACCGAGGTCTCCGCAGGCCCTTCCCTGCCGAGGGTGGGGCCACCGGGGCACGTGGTGGAGGGAGGTGGCGGCCCTCGCCAGGGCGGTCACCAAGGCCAGCCCCACATGGGCTCTCTGTCCACTCCGCCAGCGTGGGCTGAGCCCCTGGACACTATCAAGGTCGCCGCCAAGGGACGGGGAGCCTCCCTGGCAGGCTGGCCGAGGGAGGTCCCAGCTGACCCTAAGCCACTCTCCGAGGGCGACCTGACCGGCAGGGAGTGGACAGCCGGCGCTGGCGGTCCCCAGAACGAGGCTCGCTGTCGCAGTGGCCTTTGTTCCTTGCTCCTGGGCTCTGTCCTTGGCCCAGGGCCTGCTGGGAGCCTTCTGAGGCTCGGGCCGCTGACCCACCCGGAGGCCTCTGCGCCTGGACTTCTGGGGACAAGCGTCCTGCTGTGGAGCAAGAGGAGCCGACGGAGGCGCCCGGGCATGTGGCCAGCGCCTGGCCATGGTGGTCACCCAGCTGAACCTGGAGTTCCGCTTTCAGGGCCAGAAGCTGCGAGGCTTCAGCTGTGAGCTCACGCGGTCCCCCCATGGGGTGTCCCTCGAGACCCCTCTCTCCACGACGTGCCAGGTCACCGTGCCCATCCTGCTGTCGGGCCTGGGCATGATGGCCGCGGGCCTGGTGATGAACGCCGTCCAGGTGTGTGCAGGGCGCCGGGAGGGCGTGTGCTCGGACCTGGGCGTCGGGGGGTCCCCTGGGCACCCAGCGTCTGTGCACCGAAGCGTCACTCGGATGTCCCTCCCCAGGCTTGGCCGGCGCAGCCTGTGTGCGGGAGCTCGGCTCCCGTCCTCACCAAGATGTGGACACGGGCAGGGCCTGCCTCCGACCTCTCTGCCTCAGTTTCCCCATCTGTAAAGTGGGCCGATGGCAGCACCCACCTTGCTGAGAGCCGGGAGCCTGGGAGCCTGTGCCCTTGTCCTGTGGAGCCGGGTCACTGGCACGGCCGCCCCTCGAGCAGAGCTGAGGGGACTCACTCTCCAGGGTCCCTGGGGGCCCGGGGAGGGCCAGGCGGGCAGGGTCTGGGGTCTGCACTGGCACCTCAAGGTCTGTGTGTCCTGAGTGTGATTCGGGTGACGTTATTTGGAGCAGTGAGGGGTGTCTGCTGCCTGCTGTGACGTCCTCGTGGTGCGACTGCTGTGCTAGGGAACCTAGAGAGGGGCCGGCGCAGGCCTGTCGTCCAGCTGCTCGGGAGGCTGGACGTGGGGTGCTGCCCACGGCTTCGTGGAGGCTGCTCCCTGATCCTTTGGGGTCCCACATTCAGAGGTGAGGTGGCCTGGGGACTTGCCTGCCCCTCGCCAGCCCAGAGACAGGGACACGAGGCAGCCACCACCAAGGAGATGCCGTCACACTTAGGAATGGGATGCTGCCGGAGTGTCGGGGGGGTGGCCCATAAAGTCCCATGTGACAGGAAACACCGGTGTCAGGGCCAGTGTGCGGCTCTGTGGCTCTGCGGGCCAGCGTGCTCAGAGCCCCAGGCCCACCCCAGCGCCACACACGTGCAGATGAAGAAAATAAACAGAAAGCACCGTCAGGAATGCGTCCCCACACGCCTGCTCACGCACACATGCACGCACACGCACACGCACAGTCTGGGTGAACAGGAAAGCGCTGATGGGAGATCTCATGGACCCTCCATCTCGTCTGAGTCCTAGCTTTTCTCTTTTTTGGTGCCAGGGATGGAGCCCAGGGGCCCTTAACCCCTGCGCCCGTCCCCAGACCTCGTTACGTTTTATTTAGAGACAGGGTCTCGCTGAGCTGCTCAGGGCCTAAGTGGCCGAGGCTGGCCTCCAACTTGCCATCCTCCTGCCTCAGCCTCCCGAGCTGTTGGGATGACAGGTGTGTGCCCTGTGCCCAGCTGCCTCTGACTTCTGATGCCGTGATCCACGAGCAGTGTCCTCCTGTGTATTTGGGGACCATGTGAGGACCTGTAGTTTGGGCACCTGCTTGGGTGTGGATTTGGCAGTGATGGTTGTAAGTGGCTGAGTGACAGTCACATCAGTGTGACTAAAGTCTGTCCTAGGAGCAGTATCAAAGATGCCCTGGAGGGTGAGGTTGGGGACAGCGAGGAAGATCAGGGTAGTCATGGCCAAGGCTCAGCCACCCCCGCCCCATGTGGCAGAAGCAGCATTGTGACCGGTCCCCAGGTGACAGGGACAGAGGCCTAGGTGTTGCTGACAGTCTGAGTGACAGGTTTGGGACCAGGAGGGGTCGAGACAGGAAAGATGGCCAGAGGGGGGCCTCTGTAGGGAGGCAGGGGTGTGGAGGACAGAGCCTGCAGGACACCCAGCGAGCACTCCGCAGGGGGTGCACAGGGGTGACGCTCGGGACTGGTCACCTCCCCTGCGCAGGCCCACAGTGCCTGTCACTGGACTTGTCCCTGCTGCCCGTGACAGGAAACCTACCTCCGGGTCGGTGCAGACGTGGCCTCGCGTGTGGGCAAGCCCTAGGCCGTGGCAGTCTTGCGGGAGGGGGCAGGGTGAGCCAGCCGGCCACCCCAGGACACATGTGAGGGACTCTGTGTTCTGTGTCACGGGAGCTCAGGGCTGCTGCTGCCGGGAATACAGGGAGGCAGGGACCGTGCTGATAAGGGCTTCAGCCTTTGCCCGGTGACATTGTTTTCTTCTGGGGACAACCAGCTTGGGGCCTCTGTGACCTGGATGCTGAGTGCCCGCTGTGCGGGGGTCAGGGCGGAGCCGAGCAGAGGAGCAGTAAACGGAGGTCTGAGGGCACGAAGGGGTGCACACCTGTCATCCCGCCCCTCTGGAGGCTGAGGCAGGAGGATCACAAGTCGGAGGCCAGCCTCGGAACTCAGTGAGGCCCTGTCTCACTTGGCTCCGTGGTCCAGACCCTGGGTCCAGTCCTGGTGAGGGCAGAAAGGAGTCCCCCGCAGTATGGCGACTCCATTTCCCCCTGTGGTGTTGGTGCGGTGACTGGACACGGTGGTCTGTGTGACTGTGGCACTTGGTGACACCTGGTGCATGCACGTGACCTGCTGGGGCCACTCCCAGGCCAGGCCCCCGTCCTCCCTTCTATTTCCCCCTCCCCCATATAACTTCCCCAGTTTCCACCTGTGAGGGGGAACCTGACCAGGGGGCGTCTCCCGGGACCCCCAGAGGACAGCCAGGGCGGCTTGGAGACGGCGCCTGCGCCCCCTAGAGGTGAGGTGGGTGGGCGCATCTCCACCAGGGACAGGAAGGAGAGCCGGGCGTCCTGCGTCCTCAAAGGCGCAGTGGGTCGTCCTTAGGCCTAGAATCCCGAAACCAGGGGGACTTCTGTGTGGGGATCACAGGCAGCTGCAGAGGCCAGGCTGGTAGAGGAGGCTGTGAGACCCGGAGGGTGTCGAGATCGGTTCCAGGGAGCAACCTAATTGCACGTTAAGGAGGGAAGAGTCGTTTTCCTCTCTGCAAAATCTTTTTCTTCCAGTTTTCTCAAAATGTGTATCCCTTTCTTCGTTTCTTAGTTTGTGTGTCTGTGTGTGTGTGTGTGTGTGAGGGAGAGAGAGAGACACACACACACACACCACGGATTGAACCCAGGGGGGCTTGACCACTGACCACACCCCAGACCTTTTTATATTTTGAGACAGGTTCTCACGAAGTTGCTGAGGCTGGCCTCTAACGTGTGATCCTCCTGCCTCAGCCTCCCCAGCCACTGGGATGACAGGCGTGGGCCACTGCACCTGGCTTGTGTGAATTTGTCAATGTTTGCTGAGGTGGCGTCTCCGTCAGGCAGATGCTTTGAAACATTCAAGGTCTGCAGACCTGTGATCCCAGATCCCTGGGAGGCTGAGATGAAGGATCACAAGTTGGAGGCCGGCCTCAGCACAGGGCTGGGCGTGTGGCTCAGTGGTGGAGCACCCCTGGGTTCAACCCCCCAAAAGTCAAAGGCCCAGCTCGGAGCTGGACAGTGACACACGCAGACTCGCTGCCCAGGAGCAGAGGGCGCCAGGGCCTCTGTACTCGTGGGAGGGGAGTCGCTGCCCCACAGCAGCTGGCTGGGCAGATGTGACCGGGACCCTGTCACTTTGAAATCGAAGACTGCATAATTTCTGCACTGATTTCCTACTAGGCGAGCTGGGTCCTGGGCCTGTCCCTTGCCCTGTCCCCTGCCCTGCCTGCTACAGGTCGGAGAGGGGGGCCCAGGCCCGCTGGTGCTGTCACTGAGACAGCAGTGACCCCAGCCCCACTGACCTGGTGCTGAGTTCAAAGCCACCGAAGGCGTCGCTTGCCTGGTGGCTTCTGTGGGGACCAGGAAGTCCCCGCCACAGGCTCTCGGGGGACGTCTGCAGAGACGCCAGGCGGGCACTTGACCCCCTCCCCGCCCTCTTGCAGCACTGGCCCGTGTTCCTGGAGGTGAAGGACCTGTTGACGTTGGTGCCACCCCTCGTAGGGCTGAAGGGGAACCTGGAAATGACGCTGGCCTCGCGGCTCTCCACCGCCGTAAGTTGACGGGTGACCAGGAGCCCGGCTTGGGGACGGCGCTCCCACCACCGGTTTCCCTGAGTGGCTTGTGGGAGGGCCGGTGCCTCCAAAGAGAGGAGTGGGGTAAGGTTCTGTTGTCCCACACGCTGCCAGGGGTTTCTTGGGGACACAGAGGGACACCCAAAGCAGGAGAGGAGGAGACCGTGTGTGGGGACAGCGGGAGGGGGGACGCCAGGCGGAGAGGCCTTGAGGGAACCCGCTCTGTGGCAGGACAGGTGGAGCGGGCTCCTGGCCTGGCCGCGGGGGTCTGCTCTGGCCTCCGGGCCTGTGAGGACTTCAGGCCACCGAGCAGCAGACTGACCCCCAGGGCAGATCAGGTCACCCCTGGGGAACAGTGGGCAGCGTCTCCCACGGCCAGGGACGCAGTGGAGATGGCCACCTGCGAACATGGACGCTTGTGATTGTCCTGGTCCAGACTTAGGAGAAAGACCCAGGGCCACTTAGCCACTGAGTTGAATTTGAGACAGGGTCTCGCTCAGTGGCTGAGGCTGGCCTCGCGCTCACAGTCCTTCTGCCTCAGCCTCCTGAGCCGCTGGGATGGTGGTGTGCGCCCCTGCCCCACCTGCCTGTGTGATTCCCAGCCAAGCCCGGGGTCTGACGCTGGCTCTGTACAGGACCTCCTGACGGCAGGTCACCTTAAGTAGCAGGACCAGTGTAAAATCCAGGTGGGGACAGATGGCACCTCAGTTAAATTGGAAGCCACATGTGATTCCGATTCCTTTGCTAGGGCTGCCAGAATCACAACCTGCTGCCTCCAACGACGGGACAGACCATCCCCTGGGTCTGGAGGCGGCAAGTGTGAGACCCTGGGCCCCCTCTCCTGGCTTCTGGCCGTTGGGGACACTCCTTGGCCCACTAGGCCATCACCTGATCTCTGCCTGGTCTTCAGGTGGTGTTCTGGGTGCGAGGGTCCAAACCCTGGTCACAGGGTGAGCCATCTGGACTCACCCTGATCAAGGGCGTCTGCAGGGACCCTGTTCCCACATAGGCCACCACCCAGGTGCTGGGTCACGGCTGCAGCACCGTGTTAGAGACCCAGTGGCAGCCATCAGTGTTTTCTGGAATAAATTCAAGAGGGGAAAGTGGGTGTGAGACTCAATCAGGTGCGGCTGGCTCAGGGCGCCTCCTGAAAACACAGGTCAACAAAGGTCAGCTGCCCACCTGTGGCCTCGAGGGACAGCGTCCTCCATGGGCACCCCATGGCTTCTCTGCCAGCCCATGCCAGGCCCGTAAGAGTGGAGGAGCCGAGGGTCACGTAGACAGGAGTGCAGGGCCACAAGGTCACCCGGTCCTCACAGAGACTCCGGAAGCCTACTGTGGAGTCACCCGTCAGATGGGTGCCAGTGACCGTGAGCGTGGCCACTACGGGTGACACTGGGGACATGGGGTCTGAGCACTGAGGTGGCGGGCACTGTCTCCTGGCCCTACACGTTGGTGGCTGGAGGGACTCTGCGTGCGGCCACCCTACTGGGGGTTCTGGGAAAGGTGTCCCCAAGAGACGTGCCGAGCCCGGCGCAGGGTGGTCCTGGTCCCCAGCTTGTGCTCTGAATCACTGGGTCAGACCCTCAGAAGCAGGAAGTGGGCAGTTGGCGTGCAGACCTGTCCCCACACGAAGGCCCTGCGCAGCCCCGTGCACGCCCCCGGACGCTGTCCAGCTGACCTGGGGTGCTGCAGCCGGGGACCCTCCACCGTGGCTTCCTCACGTGGACTTGTGTGCTTGTCCTGAGCTCCCCATGACGGCAGCGTGTGTCCTGCCACGTGCCACCTACACGGTGTGACATCCCACTCCTGTGGCTGGACCTGCTGTGGGGGGTCCCTACGTGAACATGGGAAGGTGACGTCCCCTTCACCCCCCTGTGTCTCATCCAGTGAAGTGCCATCCCCCCCCTTGGGTCAGCATCCACGTATCAGAGAGGACACTTGGCCTTTGGTTTGGAACCTGCCTCATTTTGCTTAGCATGACAGTCCCCAGCTCTGTCCTTTTACCCACAAATGCGATCATTTCACTCTTCTTCCTGGCTGAGTAATATTCCACTGTGTACAAGCACCGCGTCTCCTTGTTGTTCATCTCCTAAGGGCCCCTGAGTTGAGCTGCGGTAGGAGTGACGTGGCCGCGTCACCGCAGAGCACAGGTTTGAAGTCCCATGGGGCGTGTTGACTTATTTAACTCAGCCGTCTGTCCCTGGCGTCCCTCTCACGTCTCCTGGGTGGATTTGTGCATCTCTTCTCAGATCCCTGCAGTTTGTGCCCGTTAGTCCTTCAGACGAGCCCCTTCCTGTCTCTGCCCTCTGCTGTCCCCGTCCCACCCCCATCCTCCCCAGCTGCAGCCCGGGCTTTGCCCTCCCCTGCTTCTTCCTGCTGGTTCCATGGGGACCCCGAGTGGAACCATTTGCTCTGCACTGAGGACGGGCGCAGTGGCCTGTCACCCCAGCAGCTCTGGAGGCTGAGGCAGGAGGATTGAAGTTGGAGGCCAGCCTCAGCCACTTAGTGAAACTCTGTAAATAAAACAGAAAATAGGGCTGGGGCTCGGGGTCGAGTGGCCATGGGGTCAATCCCTGGTACCAAAAAATTAAGGAGCAAAGGATCCTGGGACGTGTTCCTCGGATGGTCAGGGGAGCTGGGCCACCAAGAGCTGCCCGTGGGGGGCCCCGACCAGAGGGCAGCAGGTCCCGGCAGGAGGTCTCACCCGAGCTCTGGCTGTGAGCTCGAGGGCAGGAGGTGGCCGCGCCGTCATCAGGGACACGAGTGCCCCACCCCATGTCACGCGGTTCTCAAGGAGCTGTCCCTGCTGTGTCCCTCCGTCCCGCAGGGGAGGCTGGGTCAGAGTCCTTGGACTGGTCTCCGTGCGGTGGCGCTCCCTGGGGCCCCTGTGGAGACGTGGCCGCCCACCCTGCGCCCTGCTCTGTCCCTCCCAGGCCAACACTGGGCAGATCGACAGCCCCCGGGAGAGACACCGCGTCATCAGCAGCAACCTCGCCCTGGTCCAGGTGAGCGTCCCCCTCGCCCCCTGGACGCGCCGCCTCCGTCCTCTTGGAACCTGCAGCCGGATCATTCCAGTTGGGAAGGGGGACGGCCACGGTGCCCTTGTCCCCGCGCTCTGGGCTGAGCTCTGAGAGCCGGTGGCCACGTCCATCTGTTGGTGGGGCAGCTGGAGGCTGTGCACACGAGCGGCCGGGGACACCGCTCCTGGGACCCCAGGGCCTCCCTGCCTCCTGGCCTCCCGGCCTCCTCCCTTCTATGCCAGCTTCTCTGAGAGTCACCCACACTTGGTGGCCTCTCGCCTCCCCATCCACACCAACAGGCTTCTGGTGGTAGACGGGGTCCCTGGGGTCCCCAGGGTCCCCCTCGTTGGCACATGATTGGCCTGTTACGCGGGAGGCCCCCATGGCCTTGTTCTGTTCTCTCAGCCTCCGAGAGGCCCGGGAGCCGGGGCCTCTGCCGCCAGACCCTGAAGTCCAGCCCGGGTCAGCACAGGGAAGCCCCCTGTGTCGCCCTGTGGGGCTCCAGCCCTGCCCAGCGTGAGGGCAGGAAGCTCACTGGGCCAGGGGTCCTGGGGGGCCATGGGGTCCTGGGAGGCTGTGGGGTCCCCATGCTGTGGGTGGTGGCAGCTACGGTTTGGACTTAGGGTGTCCTCCAGGGCCACCGGGAGGTGGTTGGACGTACAGCGGTGGCCCGAGGTCAGGCCATGCCCTGGAAGGGGCCGCAGGACCCCAGCCGCCTCCTTGCTCTCCTGCTTCCTGGGCATGAGGTGAGCAGCCTGCTCCGCCCTCCTGGGCTCTGCCATGAGGTGACCCCGGCCCAGAGCAGTGGGGCCCGTCTTTTGAACCCAGGGCCATGTCCCCAGCCCTTTTCATATTTTATTTAGAGTCAGGGTCTCGCTGACTTGCTGAGGCTGGCCTCCAACTTGCGATCCTCCTGCCTCAGCCTCCCACCCTCCAGGTTTAAACGTCGAGGAGTTTGTTTTCACAAACGTCTGTGCCTGACCTCCCCGGCCATCTTTACACAGTGTCCACGTTCCATCTTGATTGGACACGGCACTTGTATCGTCCCCAGTGCTCACACGTCCATGTTTCAAGTTTATTGTGCTAGATTTTAAGATTTCAAGCCGGGTTTGGTGGCGCTCGCCTGTAACCCCAGAGGCTCGGGAGGCTGAGACAGGAGGATTGTGAGTTGGAGGCCAGCCTCAGCCAAGTAGCAAGGCCTTGACCACCTGGGCCCTGGTGGTCCTTGGCAGAGGCCTGAGCAGCTGAGGTGGCCCAAGGTTCTGCTGCAGCGGGGGCAGAGGGATGGGGCAGTCTCCAGGGTCCAGGGCAGAGGGTGTTGTCCTTCTAGGGTGGACAGTGGTGAGGGACCCCTCACCCCTCATGGTGCCTCCTGAGGCCTGGTGGGGGGCGATCTGACTTCTGTCCCCACAGTTGCAGGCCACCGTCGTGGGGCTCCTGGCTGCCGTGGCCGCCCTGCTGCTGGGCGCTGTGACGAGGGAGGAGGTGGCCGTAGCCCAGGTGGCCCTGCTGTGCGCCAGCAGCGTCATCACCGCCTTCCTGGCGGCCTTCGCCCTCGGTGAGCCGCGGACGGGCGGGGGGTGCTGACCGTGGTGTGGGGGGCGGGCAGAGCCGAGGGTCCCCATGGCCCACCTGTCACCCCCATCTCTGTCCCCCCAATCTCTGTCACCTCCCGATCTCTGTCACCCCCATCTCTGTACCCCTATCTCTGTCCCCATCCTACTTCTGTCCCCAATCCATCTCAGTCACCCCCCGATCTGTCACCCCCAATCTCTGTACCCACCCCATCTCTGTACCCCCGTCTCTGTCACCCCACAATCTCTGTACCCCCCGATCTGTCACCCCATCTCTCTCACCCCCAATCTCTATACCTACCCCATCTCTGTACCCCCATCTTGGTCTTCCTCCAATCCTTGTCCCCACCCCATCTCTGACACCCTCCGATCTGTCACCCCCAATCTCTGACACCCTCCGATCTCTGTCCCTCCCCATCTGTGTCACCCCCATCTCTGTCCCTCCCCATCTCTGTCCCTCCCCATCTCTGTCACCCCCAATCTCTGTCACCCCCCCATCTCTGTCCCCACCCCATCTCTGTCCCCCCATCTCTGACACCCTCCGATCTCTGTCACCCCCGATCTCTGTCCCTCCCCATCTCTGTCCCTCCCCATCTCTGTCCCCCCGATCTCTGTTCCCCTCCGTCCGTCTCTGTCCCCTCCACTTGGGTGACACCTGACCTCAGCTCTCAAACTCCAGCTGGTCACTGCCCACGGAGGTCAGACGGTCAGACAGGGGACGTGGAGGGCGTGGTCCTCCCTCCTGTTGTTGGAAGGTCCCCGACCCACGGGCTCCGCCTGGCCAGGGAGGCCCGTCCCTGTGCTGAGACAGGGCTTGTCAGGAGCCCATCTGAGTGTCCCCGTCCCCACCCTGGCGTCCCCTCCCTGGGCCGCGGCTCCTCACAGATGGCTTCCGGGGCCCTCAGCTTGGGTGAGTAGGGACAGCCGCCTGCGGGGACGGGGACACTGCTCCAGTCGAGGGCTGCAGGCTGTGGCCCCGGTGCCTCCCAGAGGCCCTGCTCCGACACCCTGGCCTCCACTGGGGCTGGGGACGCTCGCTGGAGGCCCCAGCACTGCCCTGCCCGCTCTCCCCTCCTGCGCTGGCTGTCCTGTCACGGCCAGTGCCCTCCAGACCCCTGGGGAGTCCGAGGCCCCAGGGTCTCACTGTTCTCCGACTCGGCTCTCCCGGGCCTTGGGGACGGTCCTGCTGCTGCTGTCCCGAGGCCCAGCAGAGGGGAAGACGGGGACACTGGGCCCGAGCTGTCCTGGGGACGGGGGACCACAGTCGACATCGACGTGTCACTGGCTTGTTGAGCCAACGCTGGGGACACACTGAGGACAAAGTGTGACAGAGTGGCCTATGGCTGGGTTGAGGGCCTTGCCACGCCCGGAGCCACCTGTGCCCTCCATACTGGGCCTTGGACTCGGTCCCTAGCCTGCAGGGCCCCGCTGACCCAGGGAGTGTCCACGGGCGGTGCAGAACCAGCGGGGACATGGCCTGGAGCTGCCGGGCTCAGCGCCTGCCCCCGCCCTGCTGTCAGCCCAGTCTCTGGGCAGTGCCCTCGCCGCAAAGACTCACGTGCACGCCAGACCCCCGGGCAGCCCTGCGTCCTCTCCTGCGGGGACCTGGCCCAGGTGCTCAGCACCTCCCAGCCAGGGTGCAGGACACCTGTCAGGACGGGGCAGGACAAGTGGCCCAGCCCCTGAGGGAGGTGGCATCTGGGCTTCACATCCCCAGGAGGCCGCTGTGCCCGGCTCCCTCGTGCACATGGGGACACGGAGGCCCCGACGTGGACGGTTGGTCCTGTCCACAGTGTTCAGGGCGTCCAGCCCCAAGTGGCCCCCGGGGGGCTTCTCTGTGGTGGTTCTTGTCGTTTTGGTCCCAAGGGTTGAACCCAGGGCACCTGACCCCCGAGCACCTGACCCCCAAGCCCCTGACCCCAGCCCCGCCCGGCCCTTTCCATAGTCCATTTAGAGACAGGGCCTCCCTGAGTCTGAGGGCCTCGCTGTTACTGAGGCTGGCCTCCACCTGTGATCCTCCTGCCTCAGCCTCCCCAGCTGCAGGGATGACAGGTGTGCGCCACCGCACCGGGCTGTGGTAGGGATTCGTAAAGAGCGGTCCTGAGCTGGAAGTGTCCCTCTACTTGACCCTCCAGGGACTCTCCCTGGCCCACCAGCTCAGCCGGGCACTGGATCCACCCTGAACTGGGTGGCATGTCACAGGAACACCAGGCCGGGCACGGTGGCGCACCCCGTGACCTCGGCTCCGCAGGCAGGAGGGTCCCAGGTTCAAGGCCACCTGGGCAACCTGGGGAGACCCAGCCTCTAAATAAAAAGGTGAGGCTCCCCGGGTTCCGTCCTGGTACGAGAAAAATACGGGGCTGTGGCCTGGCCACAGGATGTGGCTCAGAGCAGCTGGCGGTGACAGTCTCAGGTGGCACTGAGGGCGCGAGTTGATCACTTTCCCTTTTCTGGAAAGGCCCTCTCTCCTGTGCTGGGACTGAACCAGCCTGCGTCACTCCTGGTCACAGGGGGGTCACAGCATCGGGGCACCCTGCGCACAGATGGGTTCTTGGCCAAGCGAGCGCCTGCCAGGCTCTGTCACAGGTGGGGAGAGGGGACAGGAGACCACGTGTGACAGTCACAGTGCAGATGCCTCTCAGGTCCCCACGGACACCGAGAGGCCACAGGTTGCGTCCTGGTGCCCAGGGACAGCCTGCGGGGCTCCCGAGACGGGCCTCCACCCCACGGGCCTCTGCCGCCTGGCCCGGCCCTGCCCTGAGGACGCTGTGCCCTCCTGCCTGCCCCCTGCCTCTTCCCCCAGGTTCTGTCCCTGGTCAGCCTGTGCCCCCCGAGAAACCTGCAGGCCACGTCCCCAGCCAGGCCCTGCCTCTCATCACCTTTGGGATGTCCCTTCCACGCACGGGGCTGTGAGGTCACCTCCAGGTGGACGGGGCTGGGGGCCGCCTGCGCTGATGAGGGACAGTGGGAAAGCTTTGGGCAGCTCCTCGCCCCCCCCAGGCCACACTGGGCTCTCCTCCCACCTTCTGGGGTCTCTGGACCTGCCCCCCTCTCTCTAGGGGTGCTCATGGCCTGCATAGTGATCGGCGCCCGGAGGCTGGGCGTCAACCCCGACAACATCGCCACGCCCATCGCGGCCAGCCTGGGGGACCTCATCACGCTGTCCATCCTGGCCGTGGTCAGCAGCTTCTTCTATAAGCACACAGGTGGGAAGACATTCGGGGACAGGCCTGAGGCAGGCGCAGGGGCCCACACCTGTCATCCCTGCAGCTGGGGAGGCTGAGGCAGGAGGATCACAGGTGGAGGCCAGCCTCAACAACAGCGAGGTCCCGTCTCTAAGTGAAATATAAAGGGCTGGGGACGTGGCCAGGGGTCCAGTGCCCCTAGGTTTAATCCCTGGCACCAAAAAATGGGAGGAGGAGGAGGACAGGCCCAGATAGGTCACCACCAAGGCTGGGTGAGCACTCGGGCCCCAGGTGTGGCATTCAGAGGGGGCCCTGTCCCCTTAGGAAGGAGCCGGGGACTGCAGTCATTCAGCAGGTCCAAGGACCCCCGGGTCTGTGCGGCCCCTGGCTAACCCAGGGAGCAGGCGGCATCTCCTGACCTCGTCACCTCCTGTCCTGGGGGCCACCCCCGGGCTGCTTGGGAACGCGGCAGGGCCGTCCCTCAAGTGCTACCATGTTGTCAGCACGGGACATGGCACTGGAGGCGACCACCTGGGTGGGGGCCCAGGGTGAGGTGGTGACCAGGTAGGTGGGGGCCCAGGGTACGGTGTCTAGGAAGTCACCCACCTGGTGGGACGGGGGTGAGAGGTCCCCTCAGCTCCCAGTGTCCCTGGTCCCCAGCCCACCCAGCCAGGCCAGGCCTGGGGCCAGCGGGTCCCCAGCAGCCGGTCCCCTTCCTCCTGCAGACAGCTGGCTCCTGGCCCCGCTGGTCTGCCTGGGCTTCGTGGCCCTGACCCCGCTGTGGGTCGTCCTCGCCAAGCGGAACCCGCCCATCGCCAGGGTGCTGAAGTTCGGGTGGGTCCCCATCATCCTGGCCATGGTCATCAGCAGGTGAGGACGGCGACGAGGCCAAGAGCTATGGGGCCCCAGGGCGAGGTGCCTCGGGGTCGGGGCCAGCGGGTCCCCGGGCAGCTCCCATCCTGGGTGACACCTCGTTCTCCCCAGTCTCAGCCACCGTGAGCCCAGCCCCTGCCAGGCTCAGGGAGCTGACCTGCTGGGGGGCCAGGGGAGCCCCCCTGCCCGCCCCCTGCCCCAGCTGGGGCCGTGGACAGAGGCGCGTCCCCTCACGGGGCCAGGCTGACGCTCCAGAGCCTCGCGGCAGCTAGGGCTGTGACAGCACCCCGTGGGACCCCGGCTGGCCCATCCCCTCTCCTGGTGGGGGACTGTGGGGCCGCCCTGTCCCTGCTGATGTGTTCAGGCCTTGGTCTCAGGCTGTGGTGCGGGCGCCTCAGCTTCTAGAAGGTTCCGAGGCCCCTTGACTGGCCCCTCTGCCCTCCCTGGTCCCAGGCCCCAGGTCTGGCTGCAGCCTGTCGGGGTCCCGAGGGCACCAGGGTCCTGGTGGCTGTGTCCTCCCTGAGAGCTGCTCAACGTGGCCAGGAGCCACCCATGACCCTGCTACTGTCCCTCTGGGGAAGGGCGTCTGCATGTTGTCCTCTGCCTGGCCCCGGGACAGCCCAGGGTCGGGTCAGTGAGGGAGCACAGGATGGGGGCCACCGGGGGCTGCCTGAGTGTCCGCCATGGTCACCGGGTGCCATCTGCTCTCCGCCCAGCTTCGGGGGACTCATCCTGAGCAGGACGCTCTCGGAGCAGCAGTACCGCGGCATGGCCGTGCTCACCCCCGTCATATGCGGTAGGTGCTGGACTCGGTCCCCGGGGTCCCCAGCCGCCCCCTGGCCGGGCCTTTCTCAGATGAACTGAGACCAGGGGGAGGAAGCCCTGCCCGGTCCCTGTCCCAGAGGTGCCATGGGCCTGCAGTCTCAGCTGCCCAGTGGCTTCCCGTGTCCCGCAGGCGTCGGTGGCAACCTGGTGGCCATCCAGAGCAGCCGGATCTCCACCTACCTGCACGTCCGCAGCACGCCCGGGGTGCTGCCCCTGCCCATGAAGGGCTCCTGTCCCCGGCCCTGGGCCACCTTCTGCAGCCCAGGTGGGTCCAGCCCCGCAGGCCCCTGGGGACACTTTGTCTTAAAAAACAAGTGACATCGGTGTCTGTACGGTGGACGCCTGAGGCGGAAGTGAGCCTCCCCCAGGTCCTCCTCCCGCGTCCACAGCGCCTACCGTCTGTCGACCTGGTCAGGTGACCGTGAGGTCAGGGGCAGGTGACTTCTTGCCCTCTGGGAGTCCAGAGCAGCAGACAGGACAGACAGAATGATCCAGAAGGCCAGGCCCAGGGTGTGATGAGGGCCAGGAGCAGGTGCTGGGATGGGGACCGGCCAAGCAGAGGCCCACAGGCAGGAAGGAGCTCTGGTGTCTGAGGCACTAGAGGCCCATAGGAGGCTCGGGGAGGAGCAAGAGGAGGCCGGGGAGAAGTGGGGGACCCTGAGGGCCTTGGGGTCAAGCTTCAGGCTGGTCCTGTCCTGCGAGCCCGGCGGTGGGGGGGGCTCTGTTCTCTCTTTCTGTAGCTTTTTTTAGGGGGACACTGAGGATGGAGCCCAGGGGCACTCGACAGCCATGTACCCACCCCCTTTTTTTTTAGTTGTGGAGGGACACGGTGTCTTTATCTTTACGTGGCGCTGAGGGTCCAGCCCACTGCCTCCCACGTGCCAGGCGGGTGCCCTCCCACGAAGCCCTGTCCTCAGCCCTTTTTCTATTTGATTTAGAGACAGGGCCTCACCAGGTGGCTGAGGCTGGCCTCCAACCTGTGATCCTCCTGCCTCAGCCTCCTGAGTGGCTGGGATGCCCTGGGACCACCCCGCCCAGCCACGTGCTCCCTGTCGGCCTCCTTGGAGGTGACCATGTCAAGCAGCGAGGCTGAGTGACAGTGACTCCCCTTCACCGTGGACTCCCTAGAGGAGCCTGAGGAAAGTGGGGGTTGCTGATGCCCCACACAGTGCCCAGCAGGCCACAGGTGCTTTTGTGTGAAGGGGCTCCCAGGGCCCCCTGGAAGGACAGTGGCCTTCTCAGATTAGAGGTTCCATGCACGAAGTGTGGGTGTCCCTGATGTCCCCAAGCTCTTTCCCACCTCACTGCCTGCACCTGTTCTCTTGCCTGTGCCCGGAATCTTCTCCCCCAAATGTAGGTCTCAGCTCAGATCTTGGGGTCACGTCCCCAAAGGGACCTCTGACCCCTGGGACTCGTCCCTCCAACCCCCAGGACTCGTCCCTCCTCTCGCACCCACGATGCCCTGCTGTGTCACCAGGCTGACTGTGGCGGTCGCAGTTTGAAATGCCCCTTGGTGCTCTGCTGCTGTGACTCGACTCCCTTCCTGGACACCAGCCCCGTGGGGTCAGGCGGGCACCATGGGGTCAGCTGGGAATGCTGTGGCCCTGGCTGCCGGGCGGTCACAGGGGCCCCGGTCCTGTGTCCCTGCAGAGATCAACTCCACGTCGGCCCGCGTGCTGCTGCTGCTGGTGGTGCCCGGCCACCTGCTCTTCTTCTACGTCATCCGCCTGGTGGAGGGGCCGGCGGTGGCCAGCAGCAGGACCTTCGTGCTGCTGTACCTGCTGGCTGGCCTGGTCCAGGTGAGGACACTGACCAGCGCATGAGCTCACTGGGTCAGGCCGCAGGCTTTGTCCCCTGCCCTCGGGAGCCACTGTGCAGCCTGGGCAGTGGGAGCTCCTGGACGTGCGGGCAAGGTCCCCACCTTCCAAGAGTCCAGTCAAGTCACTGACCTTATTCAAGCCCAGTGGCAGGGTCCAGCCACTCGGCCACTGCCCACTGCACATGATGGCACAGGACACACCCACCATCAGAGGGCGGGCAGCGCCAAGGAGGCAGTGTCCATGGCTCAGAGGACAGGGCAGGCCTGGCCCGCCCGGGGTGCTGCGGAAGACCTGCGCAGCCTCTGGTCAGGGCTGGTGGCCTGGAGGACGGTGGTGTGTGGATTTGCCCTGGAAAGTTCTGGAAGGCTAAGTGGCCAGCGCTGCAGGGCAGAGTGTCCACGTAGACCCAAGTGGGGGTCCCAGTGGGGTCTCAGGAGCAGACCCAGGGCAGCAGGTGGGTGGCAGCAGGTCTGTGTGGCACTGATGGAGGCCAGAGCAGGAATCGGCCCCTGGGAAGGACAGAGGAGGGTGGCCTTCTCTAGCCAGAGCACCCGCTGGGCTTCGGAGCGGCCTGTTCTGTGTGGCTGGAAACTTAAAAAAAGGGGCATTTGAGCCGGGCACTCACTGCCGTCCCAGCGGCCCGGGAGGCTGAGGCAGGAGGATCTCAGAGTTGGAGGTCAGCCTCAGCAAAGGGCGAGGCCCTGTCTCCAGATAAAACACCAACGGGGCGGGGCCGTGGGCGGGGCCAGGACGATGGGCGGGGCCAGCGGGCGAGGCCCTGGGTTCAGTCCCTGGTGCCACCAAGAAGCCTGGAATTCGGGTGGCTCTGGGGTCCCATCAGCGGCGCCAAGGAGCTGTTCCAGGGTGACTGGCCACGCGGGAGGGTGAGGCGGCGAGGGGACCCAGTGTCACCCACTGTCACCCACCGCTCAGCGTCCCAGGGACCCGGCGCCCCTGGCGGCCCTGACCCTCTGCCTGTGTCCCGTGTGTCCCCTGCTCTCCAGGTGGTGGTGCTCCTGTACCTGGCGGAGGTGGCGGTGCGGCTGACGTGGCACCGGGGCCTGGACCCCGACAACCACTGCATCCCCTACCTCACGGGGCTGGGGGACCTGCTGGGCACCGGGCTCCTGGCGCTCTGCTTCCTCGCCGACTGGTCACTCGCGGGCGGGGCGGCGCCGGGCGGCGGCTCCGCGTGGACCCCCGGCCCCCCCTGACGGCGCCCGGGCGGCGGGACGCTGGCTGTCCCCTGCGGGATCCTCAGCGGTCACTCGCCCGCCCGGCAGCGGCCTCCGCCGCGGAGCCGCGCGCACCGCCCCTTTGGACGCCAGAGACGGACTCTTGAGGCCCGGAGCCTCCTGTGCGCGTGCGCGGAGCTGCCGGCCCCCGAGTGCCGGAGTGCGCACGCGCGGGGCGGGGCCGGGCTCGCAGCTGCGCAGGGGGCCGGCGTCGGTCCCCAGGCCTTCGCCGGTTCCTCGTTCTGGTCTTTTTAAAAATTTTCTTTAGTTGTAGGTGGACACAGGGTCTTTATTTTTATGCGTGTCCGAGGCGAGCGCCCCGAGCCCCTCGCCCCGGCCCGTCCCCTCCTGTACGTCCTGGCCGGGACTTGTGTCCCCCGCAGCGGTCGGAGAAGTGGAATAAGCCCCGCTGCCTCCTGGCCTTTGGCGTCCTCAGCGTCGCGCGGGGTGGGCCTCGAGCCCCCCCAGGGCAGGACATGACCCGGGTCGCGTTGGGCCCGCAGAGCGCGAGGAAGGAGTGTGCGACCGCGGCCGCCGTCGAAGGGCAGAGTGGCCAAGGGGGGCTGGGGGCGGGAGAGCCTGGCCTTGCCAAGCCGCGCCCAGCACGAAGGGCTCTCATCACAGAGGCTTGGAGGCTGAGGCAGGAGGATCACAAGTTGGAGGCCAGCCTCAGCCACTTAGCGAAGCCCTGAGCCACTCAAGAGCTGGGGATGCGGCTCCCCCTGGCACCGAGAAAAGCGCAGTCCCCCCCTTGATGTGCATGGGAGGCGGTGGTTGCCGACTGAATGCTGGTGACGCTGAGCTCTGGTGCATGTTGAATGAATGAAGGCTCCTAGAGGAGGCGGTGACATGGGTCTGGCAGCCAGACACCCCGCCTAGAGCCCTGCTCCCCACACGTGCAGCGTGGCATCAGAGACAGGCAATCACCGACAGCAGGGTTTATTTACAAAGGGGTGATGGGGACTTCTGGGATGGAGAAGGAAGGGGCCGAGGCTGGCGTCCCCAGGAGGGGGTGCGATCTGCCTCTTGTACACCGGGGCCTGCTCTGGTGTCCTGCGCTCTCCCCGTGTCTCTCCTTCCTGCCCATGTGATGGCCAGGAGCTGGCCCAGGTGGGATGGCCGGAAGGTGGGGAGCAGATGCACAAGGGGGGGCCCAGGACACAGGAAGAACTTTCCCAAGCCCCTGTGGGGAGGGACAGTCCCGGGACGGGTTCCCTTAGCAACAGGGTGGAGCCCGTAGGCTGTCTTGATAAGGGTGGAGGTAAGGCCCTGCAGGCAGTGGCCTGGCCATCAGGGGACTGTCCCCACCTTCCCAGACCCAGCTGGCCCCACTGGACCCCAGCCCTGCCTCCTGGCCTCCCAGCCTCCCCGCCTCCCATTTAGTTCTGGCTTTAGCCTCTGGTCGCCAGGCGGGCCCAGGCCAGGTTGGCCGCCCAGCCTCCCCCTGCAGTCGTTTTCTAGAAGGCAATGGTCAGTTTTTAAAGGTCTTTTGCAGCTGTAGGTGGACAGCGCCTTTACGGTGTGTGCCCATCTTCATGAGGCGCTGGACAGGGAACGGGACCTCAGGAGGGCTGGACCAGCGCCCAACCATGGTCCCACCTGTTTTGAAGCCCCAAGTTTCCTGTGCCCTTAGGGGACCTGCCCTTCCACAGGCTGATAGCACCCAGGGGAGGAGCAGCCCCACCCCGTGCTGGTGACCAAAGCCCTCCTCGCTGGGCCAATTTAATCTGCCCTGTGCGAATCACCGCGACTGTAAAATGTTTAATGGGGTACCAGGATGGAACCCTCGGCCCCTGAGCCCTGTCCCCAGCCCCATGTTGTATTTTACTTAGAGTCAGGGTCTCCCCGAGTTGCTTAGGATTGTGCTCAGTGGCTGAGGCTGGTCTCCAACTTGCAATCCTCCTGCCTCAGCCTCCCGAGCTGCTGGGATGCCAGGCGTGGGCCACTGGCCGGGCTGACTGTGATGTTTTGATTCAAATTATGGCGGAGGGGGTGGGGCAGGGGCTCTAGGTGCAGGGCCCTGGTGGCAGCTTGCAAGGACACCTGGCCTTGGTGTATGACGATGGCGCCCTCTTCAGGTGGGCCGAGCCCCTGCACCCTGAGTTCAGGGCCAGTCTTGCTTTTTGTTGGCCACAGAAGGAGCTCGAGGCCCCACGGCCTCCTGCGCTGGGCAGGAGCCCCTGTGGGCGTGTCCTCCAGGTCCCCAGCCCCGGGTCTCCCAGCGTGACCACTGCTGTCCTCCCCGTCCAGGCTGCGTGTGACGCAGGCCCCTGCCTCCTCAGGCCCAGAGAAGCAGGTGGGGTCACTCGGGGACACTGAGCCCAGCATAAGTGATGTCCTGGCAGGTGAAGGGACCGAGACCTGAGGACAGCAAGGCCATCGTGGCACCTTGAATGGGGTCGCGGCAGCAACTCTGTCACTGGGAGGCCGGCTGAGGGTCCCCAACAGCCCTGAGGACCCCGAATCCTCTTCAGTTCCCAAAGGCAGGGTGGCCGAGGCCTGGGAGTGCCACAGCTGGCCCATGTCCCCAGAGACCGGGGACCCCACCTTCCTCCAGTCCCTGTCCCTCCCATCCTGGTTGCCACCCTCTCTGGCCAGCGGCCACAAGAGCGGCAGCACAGGTGACTGAGAGCCAGGTGTCCCCAAGGTCCCACTTATGCCAGGATACTCAGGGCGAAGTCGGGTCCTGACAGCCGCGACCCCGTGGGCAGATGGGGCGGGTGGCTCCCTGGGGACTGTACCCAGGCGGCTCTTCCCGGGGCTTCCCTCCCCCCAGCTTCCTACCCACCCCCGTGCTGTCCCCCCACAGCCAGGCCCGAGGGACGCAGCTGGCGTCCCTGCACTGGGACCTGTGGCACCAGGAGCCCGAGTCAGCATCCCCTGAGCTGTTCCCGTGTCTGGTCACAGTGACACAGAAGCTGACAGTGTGTCCCCTGGCTCAGCCTGGGCAGGGGGACAGCTGAGAGGCCCATTTCCTGGCCCAGGGTCACACGTATGGCTTAGAACCCAGGGGGCCGTCCTCTGAGGCTCTTCCTGAGGAGCACAGCATCTCCCAAGGGGACAGGTGACCCCCAGGACGTTCCAGTCGGCTGAGCCAAGTGCATCAGGGTGGGGTGGGGACGTGGGCGGGCAGGGGCAGGTCCCCAGAACAGCCACTGGAAGGGTAGGGGCGCCGCCAGCTGGAGAGGCCGCCATTTCTGGTAGAGGCCAGGCGAGTCCCTGGGGAAACGGGCACAGCGTCCACAGGGCGGGATCGTGGGCAGGACTCATGGGACAGTGTGGAGGGGGACGTGCCTTGGGGCTCCGCTGCCAGCAGCTTCCCCAGAAGTCACGGACGTCAGGAGGTCAGTCCTGGACCAGAAGGGACTCTGCCTGGACTCCCTGACTCCTGGAGGCTCAGGCACCAGAGAGGTGGACACTCGGGTGTGGCAGCTGGGGTGTGGAGGGGGTCCCCTCTAGCCAGGTGACCACGTCCCACGCCGAGGCCTAGGAGGCAGACCTGACCCACTCGCACCTCCATGTGTGCGCTGTCAGTCACGTGGGTAGAACGTTCTGGGTCATCAGGTGCGGAGGCTGCACTGGGGGGAGGCGGGAGGTCAGAGCCAGCCTCAACCCAGCCAGGAGGCCCACTGGAGGCCTGGAAGCTCAAGGTGGCCGCGGCTCCTGGCCTGGAACGTCCCTCCTGAGCACCTTTTGGAGTCCTGGAGTCCCCTCCTGACGACCTTCCTTGTGGGGCGTGTCACCACCTGACTCTGTCCTGGGCCCCCACTGGGCTGTCACCCCGATCACCACCATCCCTGGCGTTTGGAGCCATCTGGCTCCCGGGCGGGCACAGCAAGGGTGCCACATGCCAGTGTCACAGGGGGTCAGGGACGGACGTGGGCTCAGTGTTCCCTGAGTCACTGTGTCACACAGTTTGGCTGTGCAGATGTCCCCTACCCTGAGCATGTGACACTGGGAAACTGCAGGACAGGTGGCCTCTCCAGGCCCAAGGTACATCTGCCCTGTCTCAGTGGCAGCTGCCTCTGCCACCATCACCTGGACAGTGGCCTCCTGCCCTCCCAGCCGCAGAGCAGGGGCTTGTGCTGACAGCCTCACCAGCCGGCCTCCACTCCGCGACCCTGGCCCAGGCCTGCAGCTGCCCCTCTGCCCCTCAGCCAGGGGTGCGGCCAGGAGCCACCGCAACACGCATGGGGACATCGTCTTGGTGCCTGCAGAGCTGCTCTTGTTAGCTGCCCCGATTTCTGTCACCTGGGGACTGTCTCTGGACTTGTCCACACACAAGTGCCACATGGATTCCTCAGGTTTAAGGGCCACCTTCACAAGGGCTACGACCAGGCATGGTGATGTCCCCAACCAGCCGACCTCCCACATGCCTGGGCCTCCACAGGTGTCTGCTGGGCAGCCAGGTGGGGCCAGGGCAGAGGGCTGGCCTGGCACGCGTGAGGCCCTGGATTCGAGTCTCAGCTCTGCATATAAGAAATGAGTAAAATAAAGGCCCATTGACGACCGGAAACACATGGAATAATTCAGGCGCTGGGGCTGCACCTGGGGGGAGGCTGGGAGGCCAGGCTCAGCCTCTGAACGCCCTCTCCTGTTTCCTGCACGATTGCACCAGCTTTGTGACACTTGTCTTCTTGGGTCACAAACTGTTAAATCATCAGCGAATAGAAATAATTCAGCCTCCAGTTCTCAGGCCTCTGGGCCCGTCTAGGTTTGGTCAACCCCGTGAGGACACAGGTAGTACGAGTCAGTCGATGCTGCTATAACAAAGCGCCTTACTCATAGGACCCGGGTCACATGATCTGCCCTGGGCAAGCTGGAGGCCTGGGAAATGCAGTGGCACCATCCAAAGGCCTGAGAACCTGGGGGGACCTGGGGTGAAGCTCCCAGTCCTGAGCCAAGGGCCCGAGATGCTGGGGTGGGGTGGGTGGGTACAGGAATCTGTGGTGCGATGGCCAAGGGCTGTGCGGGTCCCCATAGACAGTGAGTTCACCCTGCCTCTGCTCTGCAGGACAGGTGACACCCGTGGGCATTGGTGGGACAGGATTGTCTGGTTTTCCCCAGAAGCACCTCCAGGGACCACCCAGCGAGTGTGCTCTGCTGTGGGGTCCCCCTTGGCCCAGTCAACACCCCAAACCAGACACCGCAAGAGGCTTCCCTAGTGACCTCACCTTCTGAGGATGTCCTTAGCCCCCTCTTACCCCTTCGTCTTTGTTTTTGGTGCCAGGGGTTGAACTCAAGGACACTCAACCACTGGGCCAATCCCAGTCTGTTTTATCCTTTGACACAGGGCCTCACTAAATTGCTGAGGTTGGCCTTGAACTTGTGATCCTCCTGCCTCAGCCTCCCAAGCTGCTGGGATGACAGGCGTGTGGCTTGGTGCCCAGCTAAGCTCCGCCCCCCTTTTTTCCCCAATGTTATTGGATTTTCCTGGACCAAGGGCCAGGGCTTGGGTGGGTTCCTTGGGTCTGTGTCCCAGAGACGCCCCATCTGTCTGCAATGGGGAGAGGATTTGAAGACACTGGGGGGGGGGGTCTCTCTGCTGACCCCTGGACAGCACCTCATTTGACTGGGTCCCCTGCCTGGGCTGCTGCTCCCTGCTCCCTTTGTCCCCAAGGCCTCCGGGGACACTTCCTGGTGGCCCCTCTGGCCCCTTGGACTTCCCCAGCCTTTTCTGGAACTACCCAGGTCCCCGTCCCCAGGGCTCAGTTCCCTCAGGGGCATGGGCTGCAGCTGAGGTGACTGCTCTCCTAGTGAGTCCCCTCTATTCTGCCGTCCCTGCTCCAGTTCAGGCCTCCTTGTCACCAGGCTGGGGTGACGGCTGTGTTCCTGGACAGGTCTGCAGGGTGCTGGCAGGTTCCACGCCAGGCGGCCTCCCCTGTTCTCCCCAGAAGATCCGAGGGGCCTGTTCCCATCTCTCCAGCTCACCCAGGGGACCCGGGGGCGGGCCGTCCCTCCCTGGCCATGACGTGACGGGCGGCGGGTATTCGATGGCTTTATTTTACATGGCTGTACAGCTCGTGTGGAAACTTTAAAAAAAATATACAAATCCATGATCCCATCGTCGTCCCAGATTGTCTTTTTGTGTGACGTGACCAGCTGTGTCCCCGAGGGGTCTTGCTCCGCTCGCTTGACTCGAGTCCCACGTGTGTCCCCAATATGACAGTGAAGAGAGATGACATGGCTGCACCAGGTCTGCCACCTGCTCCCACCTCAGGGGACACGATGCCATGGCTGGGTGACAGGTGGGGACCCACAGCCTCGTGAATGTGACATGGGGACAGCAGCTTGCTGGTGGCTCACGCTCCCCAAGCCAGGTCTGAGAATTGGGACCCCCATCCTGAACCCGGTGACACCCTTCCAGAAACATCTGAGAAAACATGGGTGACACTGGAGCCCCAGGGGTCAGGACCAGAGGCTGCGCTTTCTCAGGAGCCGTCACCAGGCCCATCCCGGCGCCACAGTGTGGGCCCAGCACAGGGGACACTGCGGGAGGCCGAGGCTGGGCGTCCACGTGGCCCCAGGAAGGCCCTGCCATGTCTCTTTCTGGAACAATCTAAAAGGTGCCCTTTGACTCGACCCTTGGTTGGGAAAGATGGTGGAGAAAAGCTGACATCTAATGTTGTCACCCGGGGCCATTTGTCAACAGATGCACGGGCAGGTTCTGCAGATGTGCAACACAGAGCCACGCACCGAGGACATGCAATCCCATGTCACTTTCCCGTCACAACAGTGGCTTGGAGCCGTGACACGGGGCCCTGTCTGCGGGATTCGGCCACAGGGACCACACAGTGCTCCTTTTGCAGACCGGGTGGCGCAGTGGGTGACCTCAATGACATGGCAGAGGGGGCACGGGATGGCGCAGTGGGTGACCTCAGTGACACAACAGGGGCACAGGAAAGGAAACAGCCGATGGCCCTGGGTGGCCCGCTGTCCCCAGGCTCAGGGCTGCAAACTGGAAAGGAGGCCGCGGGTGACTCAGGCGCGGCCCTGGCAGGGACCGAGGTGTCACCACCAAACAGAAGCAACAAGAGCAGGGTCAGGTGGGGACACCCCTTGGCTGGGGACCAGGTGGCAGCGGGGGTCTGGGGCGGCCTCAGTGGTGACATGGGGGTGTAAGGAGCACATGGAGTCACAATGGCCACGACACAAGTCGCCCTGCTGCAGGTGCTCGGGGCACCTCCACGGCGGCCGGTGACATCCGGGACGGGACAGGGGGCGGGCGGCGGTTCTCGGGGCGCCCCGTGGGGACCTGGAGGAGCGGGGGCTGTGCTTGGAGGAGACGCCGCGCTCAGGTCCAGCTCCGGCGGCCGGCGACAGCGTCCGGGGGACTGAGGGGCGGAGGCCAGGGACACCGGCTCCTGAGGGGACTGCGTGTGCCTGTCGCTTCCCGGGTGACAGCGCGCTGGGCCTGCGGGGCGCTCTGTCCATAAAAGGGTCGCCCGGAGCGGGCGGGGCTCACCCAGGACTGTCACCCGGCCCAGTCGGTGACGCTGTGCCCGGGCGGGCCACAACCCGGGGACTCCTTCCTCGGGCCGAGCGGGTGCCGGCCACTGTCACCTGTCACACGGGCCCCGGGCGCCCTTCCTGGCGGGTGGGGCTGGGGCGGTGTCGCAGCTACCTGTACAGCGGGATGCGGTGTCGCGTCTATTTATAGGTTTATACTACGTGACGTCTACGTGCGGACTGTCGCCGCCCGCTCAGGCCTACCTAGCGTCTCGCCCTGGCCGGCGACAGGCGCGACGCGGCGAGCCGGGGACGGTCCTCCGGCTGCCCACGGGGTCCGCTCCCTGGTCCTCGTCGCCCGGCGGGGACGCCGCGTGCGCGTGCGCGGGCGCGGGGCCGGGGCGGGGTCCCGCCTGCTCGGCCCGCCCTGGGCTGCGGCGGGGGACGCAGCCGAGGCCGGTCCGTCGAGGTCCCCGCCGGCCGCCTACACGACCGTGCTGATGCCGCTGGCCTTGGCCTTGCTGCCTCCGGGCGGCGGCGGGGCGGGCGGCTGCCCGTGGTGGTGGCCCGGGTGGGCGTGGCCGGCGTGCGCGTGGCCGGCGGGCAGCGGCGGGTGGCCGTGCGCATGCGCCGCGTAGGGGGCGTGGCCGGCGTGCGCGCCCAGGTGGAAGGCGTGCGCGTGCGGCAGGTGCGCGGGCGGGTGGAAGTGGTGGTGGTGGTGGTAGGGCGGCGGGTTGGGCGGCAGGTGGCAGTGCTGCGCGTGGTGGCCCTCGGGGGGCGCCGGGGCCGGGCCGCCGGGGCCGGGGGGCGGGGGCTTCCCGCGGCGGCTGCCGAACAGCGAGCCCAGCAGCGAGGCGGGCGCGGGCGCGGGCGCGCGCGGCGGGCCCTCGCGGGCGGGCGGTCTCCGGCGCAGGTGCGGGCTGCTAATGACGGACCCCTGCGAGGAAGCCAGAGAGCGGTTAGGGGACAGTCGCCTCCCTGCCGGCCGCGGAGGGCGCGTGCGGGCGGCTGGGCTCCGGCCCCGTCCCCGGCGCTGCCGTGCGGGACAGCGCGGGCTGGGCCTGGCCGGGTGGCTGCGGGCGGGGGTGGCCCTGCCCTGCGTGGTGGCGCGCCGCCTGCCCGGGGCCCTGGGGTCCGTGGCCGGGCCGAGACCCGGCTCCCCTGACGCTGCCCTCCGCTCCCGGGGACCTCGGGGCCGCGCCCCGGCAGGGGATGGGGAGGTGGCCGCGGGGATGGGTGGGGCCTCGTCCTGGGGGCGTGGCCTGCCCAGGCCCTTCGCTGCCGCTACCTACTTGCAGACCAAGCAGGGGTGGGGACAGGAGGGAAGGACCCGCCAGGCCAGGGCGGCCGGCTGTCGCTGTCGCGCAGCCCGCGGGCCCCCCAGCTAGCTAAGCAAGCCCACGTCCCACCGCGGCGGCCAGCGACACTCCGCGACGAAGCGATGACATGGAGCGCGAAGCCAAGCCAGAGACAGACACCACAGGGCGGGCGCCCGGGACGGGTTATCCATGCGGGGGGACCACGGGGACGGATGGGGAGAAGCGGGAACAGAAACGCCACCTCCGAGCCCCCCCACCGTGGGCAAGCGCGAGCCGCGGGGACAGTCGGGCAGAGGCCGCATGCAGGGGCCCAGGCAGGCAGGGGCCGTGGCCGCGTCTCTGTGGGGGGAGCCAAAAGAAAAAAACGACAACAGAGAGAAACCGGGGCGGGAGGCGACAGGGGACAGCCGGCTGGACGGGGTCTTTCCTACTTACTTCCAGATTGCTCTCTAGCGATCCTGCACTGCTGCGGCGCCCTCGCTTCCCTGCCCAGAACATGCAATACCAGAGGTTAGACACCACAGGCACCGGCCGGGCGCCGCCTGCCCGCCTGCCAGGGACACCTTGGCCGCCACCGCCCTAGCAACGCAGCTGGGCTGGCGGGCTGCACCTGCCGGCCTGGGCCAGGACAGGGGGTCTCTCGACAGAGCTGGGGCGCCCCGGGAGGGACAGAGGGGGGTCTGCAGCCAGCCGACCTCGGGGTCCTGCGGGCACAGCTGGGGCGGGCGCCTCGAGCACAGGCCTGGGCCCAGGTGGCCGCGCCCGCCTCCTGCCTTGCTCGCCCAGCGCCGGGTTTCGCGGGGAGCTCTGGGAGCCAGTGCGCAGGCGCATCCCCGCATATCGGTGAGGCCACTCCTGGCCCAGCCGAGTTCGGGTTTGTGCAGGCCGCTGGCCAGCGGTGGGGACTGATGCTCCTCCGGCCGGCCAGTCCCCGGCGCCCTGTCCAGGTGCTGCAAAGCCTGCTCCCAGCTGGGAGGCCTCTGCCTCCTAAGTGCCTGGCTCGTCCCCAGCCCGGGGTACCCAACAGATGCTCAGCAGGTGTAGCCAAGGCAGGGACAGCCGAGTCTTCCTAGGGGCACTGGAGGCCCAAGTCCAGCTGCTCCAGGGACACACCTCTCCCAGGCTTCCTGCAGGATGTCCCACGCCTCTGGGAGCAAGGGCAATGAGTGGCCAGGGACACGAAGTGCTTCTGTGTGTGGCACCAGCCGCGAGTCAAGCGCCATGCTGGACCCTTGCGATGGTGCTCTGTCCATCTCAGAGAGCAGGGGACCGAGGCCGTGGCGGGACCCACGGGCTCCATTCCGCCATCACACTTTGGCTGCTGAAACGCACGGTGTCCACTTTGGACCCAGGGCCTCTGAGCGGGCGAGGTCAAGTTGCGCCAGGGCCCCAGCAACCCCATGCCAGCTTCTGAGGTGATCCTTGTTACTGCCCTTCAGAGCCAGGCCAGAGGGACCCAGAAATGGTGGGGACAGTGCCGTGGGCATCTCAGGGCGCAGGCCACAATCCTTTGCAGACGGGAGGGAGTCCCAAGGCTAGGAGACCAGCCTTGCCTGGGGAGGCCAGCCCCAGCGCCAGGTGGGCGCCTGGGGTGACAGGAGGCCACCACGGGTCGGGCAGGAGTGTTTCCTGCCCGCTGCAGGGACCCAGAGCACCCACTGGGACCCTGGTCCTCGTCTCAGCCGGGAGGCGGCGGCTTGCGGTTACTGCCCACCTGTAGATGGCCCTCCACCCTCCCCACTCCGGTGTCCAGGGTGTGAAGCCCTGTCCCTGGCCACACGGCTTGGCCTCCACTTCCCCACCTGTGAGGGGACAAGCCTCCTCCTGCGCCTCTCTCTGGGCAACCCTACGTGACGGGACAGAGCTGGAGGAGCAGGCAGAGGGGACGCGGTGCCCAGGCCCTACTGCATGTCCCATGGGGCAAAGAGAGGCTTGGCTCCACCCCAGCTGCCTCACGTGGCTTTGGCCACCTGACACCAGTGGCCGTGGGTGGCCAGCTCTCTCTGATGGGGCTGCGCTGGTGAAGGGCAGGGTGCCTGGGGTCAGCCACTGCGACCCCAGAGATGTCCTCTCCCTGGGGAAGCCCCGACCGTGTCCTCCGCACGGGTGCCAAGGCCCCGTCCCCCCGCCCTGAGGTGGACCACCAGCCCCCCAGGCCTGGAGCCAGATAGGGCCACAAAAAAGACATGGGCGCAGGTTCCGGTTGAAGGACGACCATGGCCAACAGAGACCAGGTGAGTGACAGGCGCCCGACGTGGCTGTGGACAGGACTCCCGAGCACCAGACTGGCCACCTCGTGGGCATCCCAGGTTCACACTGGGCGAGACCAGGCCTGGCCATCTCCTGAGTGGATGTGCGTGGCAGCTCGGTCCCCTGCTCTCAACTGGCCACAGGCTGTCCCCGAGGCTCTCTGCTCCGCGGCGCATCCTGCTGTCACGGGGTCAGGCTCCGCTCGGCGAGGGCCGGGAGGGCGCAGGGTCCCCAGCCGCCCGCGGTTCATCTTCCTCCCTAGCAGCTCCAAGGGCATCTCCGGCCCAAACTGGTGTCCCTCTGGATGGTACAGGTGGCCTCTGCTGGCGCCTTGGACGCAGGCTGGGCCCGGACGCTCACATCCCGTCCTGAATCTGTCCCGGCTCGTCACGCGCCACAGGCCAGGGGCCTCAGCTCAGGAGGCCACAGCAGTGACCACAGGAACAAGCTGACGGCGGCTGCCCTCTGACCTCTGCCCTCTCGTGGAGGTGACCCGGGCAGGGGGCTGGCTGATCTCTCAGCACAGGCACACAATGGGCAGCTGTGCTGGTGACCGCTGGGCCCGGAGTGGGGCCTGGCCAGGGCGTCGGGTGGGGAGGGCGGCCGAGCCCTGCACAAACGCGAACCCAGAGCCGGGCCCACCGCCTGCGGTCGCCCCAAGCAGTCCCGAGAGTGGAGCTGGGTGGACACGGCCACTGGCCAAGCCAGCGGTTCTCAACCCGGGGTGGCTCTGGCCCTGCAGCCCCCGGGGGGCAGTACGGTCCCCACGCGGACATAGGACAGCTGTCCGGTGGCAGAGACCAGGATACTCCTAACCCCTGCCAGGCCCAACGTGGCCACGGCCAGGAAGCCCTGCCCAGGGTCAGCCGTCCAGGTTGAGAAGCCCTGGCCCAGCCTCATGCTGCGATGAGTTCTGAGGTTTCACCACGAAAAATGGACGACAGACGACAGCAAAGGACAGAAGGCCACTCAGCACACGGTCACCGCGAGCCGCAGGAGGCAGGCGAGCGGCCCTCGAGGCTTCCCCACCAGCAGCCCCCGAGGCCCTGGCCCTTCCCTGGGCAGCCGGCTGACGAGAGGACCCCTGGGAGCCCGAGGTGCCACTAGTGGGGGGGACCGGCTGGTGGCAAGCGCCCCACAGCCACACCCCAAGTGTCCCCAGGCTCCCCGACGCCCTGGGCCCGGTGCGCCCGCCACCAGCTCTGTGCCCCACAGGGGCCTGGGCGTCCAGCACAGAGGTCCCAAAGCAAGACAGAGATAGCGGGGATCCCCTCCCCTCGCCCCCGCGAGCACCCGGCACAGAGGGCAGCACAGCGCGCGGACAGTGGCCTGCCTGCTTGGCCAGAGCGGGTCTCAAGGGAGCAGGGTCAGCTGGGCCCCAGGAGGAGGACAGGGGCGGCACCCAGGCCTTGCCAGCCACCCCTCCCACCTGGGCCGGTCCTGCGCCCTCTAGGACCTGTCTAGGATGCCCTCTCTGTGTGGTCAGCGGTCACTCGGGTCTGGGGACAGTCAGGGCGAACCCCGGAGTGCTCCTTGCAGGTCCCGGGCAGGCCCTTCCCGGATACCGACCGCGTGGGAAGGGGGACCGCCGCTGGGCCCTTACCCGCTTCCGAGAGGTCGCGCAGGGAGCTGCTGAGGGCGCTGCGCTTGAGGCCCTCCCCGCCGGCGTAGCTGTCGTCCAAGCAGGCCCTGCCCAGCGCCCCGTTGCCCGGCTCCTTCTTGAGGCTGGAGCACTGGGACATGCTGGGCCGCACGACGCCCTTCTGCTTCTCCAGCTCCGCTGCAACAGAGAGGGTCAGCACCCGGTGAGAGGAGCCCAGCACAGGACGCAGCCCAGGGGGCAGGGACAGGCACCACCACCCTCTGCTTGGCCATCTTCACCAGGGTGGGGAGGGGCCGTCTTTGGAAGGATGGCCGTCACTATGGCACTGGGCAGAAAGGAGACCCCGGAGGGTGCCGGAGAAGCCACTCTCCTGTGACCTGCAGCACAGAAGGGCTTGTGCCAGGCTTGGGGGCAGTGAGGCCAGGGCTGGCTGGGCTCTAGGAGATGAGCCTAGGTTTAGTGGGACCCTTCAGAGAGAGTTCTGGGATCCCAGTGGCTTGGGAGGCTGAGGCAGGAGGATCGCAAGTTGGAGGCCAGCCTCAGCAACTTAAGGAGGTCCTGTCTCAAATAAAATATAAAATAGGGCTGGGGACATGGGTCAGTGGCGGCACTAGCCTAGCACGTGTGAGGCCCTGGGCTCCATCCTCAGCACCACATAAAAATGAACAAACAAAATAAACATATTCCATCTAAGACTGAAAAATATTTTAAAAATAAAATAAAGGTGCCGTGTGCACCCACAACCACACAGAAAGAAACTAAATCAGAAATAGGAAGAGGACGCAGCTCAGAGGTTCAGCACCCAGGGTTCAATCCCTGGTACCAAAAAAAGTCAGTCCAGCCTGGAGTCCAGGGATGGCCTTGGCCGTGACCCAGTGCTTGGCGGGTCCAACCAGGAGGAGGCCACTGACCTTGGCCCCAGAGCTCTGCTCGGCCATGAACCCAGCAGGAGGCTGGCGCTGGCCACTGGGTGCCTCCCGGTGGGGTGGCGGGGCCTGCAGGGGCTGGGGGTGCCCGGCAGCCCTGCCCCATGCGGTCACCGGGGGACTCACATTCGATGCGGTGTTTCTCCATCTCCTGCACCTCGGCCACCGACTCCCGCAGGTCATCGGTGAACTTCTTCCGGTCCTGGGGGTTGGGCGCGTTGAAGTTGATGAGCACTTTGATGTCCGCCCCGGGGACAGCCGACGTGAGCCGGATGCCGTTGGGGTAGTCTGTGGAGGACAGAGGGCCACGCTGTGGGGCAGGTGTCCTGCACCAGGTCCCCTGGCCTGGCCAGTAAGGTCCCAGGGCCTGGAGGGTGTGAGGGCTGGGCCTCTGGGCAGCAGCAGGATCAGGCACGGGACAATCTCGGCTCCTGACTTGGGTGGTCACTCCCCGCAGCCCCCCGCCTCTCCAGCCTGAAGGTCACAGAGGGGACCCTTCCTCAGAGGCCCTTGGTCACGGTGCCCAGTATCAAGTCCACAGAGAAGGGGTGCTGAGCAGGGGCGGGCGCCCGTCACCTGGGCAGCTCTGGACAGATGAGGGGCTGGCCTCGACCTAAGGAAGAGGGCCTTGGGGAGTGCCGTGCACACCCCCGGACACACGCTGCCCACACCTTCCTGGTGCCACAGCTGAGCTCTGGGGTCCCTGTCCCGATCGCTCTCAGGAGGGAGCTGACGCGGGCCTGTGGAGGGCCTCGGCCCAGCACCAGCGTGTCCCCACTGACACCAGAGGGGCTCCGGGTGGCCACAGGGGACCAGGTGTGCACAGGTGTGTGAGCGTGTGTGCTCGTGGCACAAGTACAGCCACGTCGTGGCAGCCCCTTGCTGGCCCGTGGGAATGGCCGCTGAGTGACACCAAGCCTTGTGATCCCCAAGAAAAGCCAGCCACTGCCCACACCCCAGGGTCTTGCTGCGCTACTGAGGGCTTCACTAAGTGGCTGAGGCTGGCCTCCAATTGGCCATCCTCCTGCCTCAGCCTCCTGAGCTGCTGGGATGACGTCTGGGCCACCCACCGTGCTCTGCAGGGACTTCTTTTGGCACATAGAATGCGCCTGGCCGGGGGCTGACCCAGGCTGCCTGCCAGCCTGGGCCCTAGGGGAAGGCGTTCTTGTGGTGTTGGTAGAATGGCCCTGGCCAGCACCCGTAGTCCAGCACGTGCAGCCTTGGGCCTCTGGAACGTCACTTCCAGGGCCACACCAGGTCTGGTCCCCACCCAGGGAGCAGGAGCCATCACCACCCTTCAGGGATGGGGTGCTAGTCGGGGTGACGTGGGGATGGCCCCCACTGATGTCACTCTGGTACATGTGTGGGACACCAAGCAAGGCACAGCTGTTGACCAGGGAGGGGCAGACGTGGGGACTTAGCCGAGGGCATGTGAGGAGCGGACGGGGTGAGGCTGGTCCTGGCCGGGTGGCCCTTGGGTCCCACCAAGGGAAGACAGGCGGCAGGGCAGCCAGGGGGATGCTGTCCCCACCCAAGATGACAGGCCGGCTTCAGGGATCTCCGGGGACAGGGACAAAGAGCAGAGAGCGGGGGCAAGGGACAGGCCAGCTCACAAGCCAGCGGTGGGTGTCCCAGGTAGGAGCCACCCCCAACCCAGGACCCCTCCAGCCCCGGGGTCCCCAAGGGCCTTCCAAGGGCCTGGGGACAGCCCTTCCCAAGTGCTGGCCGTTCTGTGCCATGAGTGACCGGGCCTCCCAGGAAGGAGCCACGGCCCTGGGAGCCCAGCAGGCAGGTCCCCCACGTGGGCCAAGGGGACAGAGGCCACGGCTCCTGACCCACGGCAGCGGGCACATGGGCCAGGACTCCCCAGGTGGCCAGGCCGGCCCCAAACTCCCGCAGGCGCTCAGTGGACACCTGCCATGCAGCACCAGGCCACCGCTGACGCTCTCCAGAACATTCTAGCAAGGGGCCCATCGGCCACACATCCAGTCGACCCCAGGGCCCATGTCCAGGGCTGCTCTGCTTTCCCACAGACAGTGGCCCTGCCACCCGCCCCTGGTCCTGGCCTGGAGGGGACACAGGCGCGGCCGGGCACTCACACTGGTTCTCGAAGAGCAGGACCTGCAGGCCGCACAGGGAGAAGGACTGTCGGAAGCTGTACGTCACCGAGTTCTTCTTCTTCTGGAAGATCTTGGTGACCTGGGGACAGCAGAGAGCACACCTGTGGCACCTGCAGGCGTGGCATGGGCAGCCGCCGCAGAGAGGTGGCAGCGAGGTGGCAGGCACACCCCCAGGCACAGTCCCCTCGGGGCTTCTCCTAGCCAGGTGAGGCGCGTGCACCTGGGGTCTAACGCCAGGGACAGGAACGGGTGGCCAGGACTCGGCAGTGCAGAGCCCAGAGGCCAAGGCCTGACCTTCGGGCCTGGGGTGCCCACCCACCCGCCCCGTCTACCTCCAGGTGAGGGGAGCCCTGGACACACCCCGCCCTGCCCCCTGGGCCCAGGACACTGTTGTCACAGGCACTGGTTTGGGTGGGACTCTGCCACAGAAGACCCAGGGCCATGCCCTCCCCAGGTCCCCAGCAGGCGGGTGCGTGTCCGAGGCCCACTGCCCGCGCTGGCCAGCCCGGGTGGCCACGTACCACCAGCAGGTCGTTGAAGAGGAAGATCTCCCTCTGGTGCAGGCCCAGCTTCTGGGGCTTGCTGGGGTCGGGGACCTCGAAGAGCCTGCAGTAGCACACCAGCCGCCGGTGGGGCAGGGACAGCACCTGGGGACAGGCCACGGTCACTCCTCCAGCCTACCGGGTGCTGGACCCGGCCTTCGGGCCTGGCCCCCAAGGCGCCGCCTCTCGCATCCCCCAGTGAGCAGAGGGGCCCCGGCTGGTGGCAGCTGTCCCCAGGCACTCTATCCTGGGGACCTGCTCTGTCCCGTGGTCTCGGGCTCCCCCAAGGAAGTGTCCCCACTGCTGCTGAGACCTCCTTTGGATTCTCTGGGGGGGGGTCAGCCACAGCTCGTTCCCCTGGTCCCTGTGAGGGGAAAGGCCTTCCCGAGAGCCCCCAGGGAGGGGGCAGAGGCTGCACTAGGAGAGTCCCCCGTTGGGCCCGACCCATGACCCTCCCGAGTGGCTGTGGCCTGGCGAGCAGAGGTGACAGGCTGGGCAGTCGAGCCAAAGCTTCCGGGTCCCTCTGAAAACATCTCAAGCAGCCGACTTGGGCTCTGGGAGCTGGGCCCTGGCGGGGACAGCAGGGCCAGGGGAGGCTGCCCAGGGTGGTGGCGGGGCGAAGGCGGAGGCCGGGTACTCACGCAGCCCAGCCCGTGGTGCAGGGATCCGATCTGCGGGGACAGCAAACGGCAGGAAGAGCCCTCAGTGCTCCGGAGGCCACCCGGCCCGGGGAGCGCAGGGGCCACCGGGCAAGGAGCCTGAGTCCCCCCACCCCCCACCCCCCACCCCAAGGCCTCAGCATGCCCTGGTGCCACCAAGGGAAGCCCTCTGTCACTTGACAGATCCCCCATGTCCCACCAGGGTGGGGCAGAGCTGAGCCCCAACGCAGCCTGACCGCTGCTCGTGGCCTCCCTTGTCAGCTACAGCACGCAGCAGATGGCTGAGAGGCCCAAGTGCCAGGGCTGCTAGAACATTCCCAGCCTCAGCCAGGCACAGTGTCCACGCCTGTCATCCCAGGGGCTGGGAGGCTGAGGCAGGAGGATGGCAAGGTGGAGGCCAGCCTCAGCCACTTAGCGAGGCCCTGTCTCTAAATAAAATATCAAAAGGGGCTGGGGACGGGGCTCAGGGGTCGAGGGCCCCCGCATTCAATCCCTGATACTACAGAAAAAAAGTGCCCGGCTGGAACCACCCACAGGGCCCTGCAGCAGAGCGGAGTGGGCTGGGGACAGGTCACCTGGCGGCACCACTCACCGGCTTCTTCCCCACGATGAGCTTCTCCACCTTCTGCACCTGGGACACGTGGTCCTCGTTGGTCTTGAGCTCCCGCTTCCGGATGCGCTCGTAGATGCCGATCAGCATCTCCCGGGGGATGTCCTCACCGTCGTCCACTCCTGGTCGGGACGCGGCCCAGGTCAGAGCGGTGGGGGCTGGGATGGCCGCAGCTGTCCTGGCCCCGCCCACCCGCCCGGAGCTGCCAGTCTGCACACGGGTCAGCAGGGTGCCCTCCTGGGTCCCTGGCAGAGCGGGGTCCCCAGGACGTAGCCCAGGAGCAGGCCCAGCGCAGCCTGGCTGGTGAGGACACCCCCAAGGGGACGGGCCACCAACTGCCTTCACCGGGCCTCAGAGGGGCTGCCTTGCTCCACCCCGAGCAAGAGGCTTGAAGGTCCCCGGTCACAAAAGGGGACACTGAGCGGGGCTGCACAGCCTGGCTGACTGTCCCTGTCCCCTGGCGAGAGCTGAGGGCTGGGACCTGCGCGGTGTCCCCACGCCACCAAGAAGAGCCCCTGGGAGAAGAAGCCAGCCCCTCGGTGGCCTCCCCAGCCCTCAGCCTACACAGGCCCAGAGGTCAGGGACACGGGCCCTCGAGCAGTGGCTGACCCAGAGTGACACGGCCCCACCCCCAAGCTGGACGAGCTGGCCTGGCCTGTCAGAGTGACCAGCTCCAAACCCTCCAGGTCACCCTCAGGTGGCATCTGGACACGGCACAGGGACAGAAGGGACACACGTGCCCTTTCCGTGACAAACAGCTGCAGTCTCACAAACCGTCCCCAGCCAACCCCCTGACCTGGGCGCCTCAGGTGACCCACCGCGCCTGCCCGACACGGGCTTCTCCCCGAGGCCCCAAGCGCCCTGCTCCTGCCCGGGCACAGGGACCCTGGGACGGTCAGCAGTGGCCCAGCTAAGCCCCAGGGGCGCTCCTGCTGCCAGGCCCATGGGCCACAGGGGCTGTGGGGGAACGTGGGGCGGGTCCCCTGAAGAGACCGCTGGACCGGCCGGGAGGAGCAGCCAGGCCTGGGGACACCAGCCCTGCCCCGCCTTGCCCACCGCTTGCTCTGTGACCGTGGACCTGGCCCTTCCTTGCCCTGGCTGTCCCTTCTCAAGCACAGGAAGGACAGAGTTACCCGAGCTCCTGGCTGGAAGAGAGGTGACTGAGGACAGGCCCCTACCTAGGAAGGCCCCTGGGAAGGGGAGCCCCGTCCCTCCCTGGGCAGCGGGTTAGAGGACCCGGACTGTGGGGTCAGCAGGTGGGATGATGGACGCAGCCCTAAAGCCACTGCCGTGTCCACCCTGCAGCTCTCCTTCCTCTGCCCTGGTCATCTCTGGCTCCTCCTGGGACTCTGACCACCAGCATCAGGCTGGGCCCAGCGAGGGGACAGGGCAGGGAGGCCGGGCGGGGCAGGGAGCTCGCAGCCACTGCCCGGGCCCTGCGCCCCTGCGCCATCAAAGGATCCCCAGTCACCTTCGCTTCCGCCTGGCCACGCGACTTCACAACTGTGGACCTGAAGTCCCTGGGGCCTGCAGGTCCCCACAGACACAGCACAGGGACCCAGGGTGACTGCTCAGGCCACGCCCCCCCAGCCCTCCTGGGGGCCTTTGTCTGGGGAATCCTTGGCCACAGGGGAAGGGGTGCCGGAGCTCTGGTTTAGAGAGTAGCTCCATGAGTGGTGCCCGCCTGTCACCCCAGCAGCTGGGGAGGCTGAGGCAGGAGGATCGCAAGGTGGAGGCCAGCCTCAGCAACTCAGCGAGGCCCTGTCTCTAAATAAAAATGGGCTGGGGTGTAGCCCAGTGGTTAGTGCCCTGGGTTCCATCCCTGGGACTGGAGGCCGCTGGGAACGACCAGGGGTCAGGCCAGGCTCCAGCTCACACACCACTGGGGCCCCTGGCACCCGGGAGCCTCCAGGGGTGGGTGCTGGGGGAGCCGGGTGGGGGCGGATGGTGGCGGTGCTAGCTCACCTCGCAGGTTCTTGACGAAGTCCTCGAGCTTCATCTTGCGCTCAGGCTTGACGTTGGGGCTGTACATGTCCGTGTTGAGCAGGATGATGGCGAAGGCCAGGATGAAGATGGTGTCCGGGTTCCGGAACTGGCGCACCACCCCGGGGTTGCAGATGCAGTACCGCTGGCTGGGGACGAGAGCCGGTCAGGGCCCCCAGGAGGCACGCCGCCCTCCCCGGAGCTGGGGGGACACTGGCTGCTGCAGCTGGCCATAAATGTCCTCAAGCCCCTCCCAGCCTGGTCCTGGGTCCCCGGGAGCACTCACAGCCCGCCTCAGCCGGGCATCTCGCTTACTGTCCCCACGGCCACCCTGCCTCCAGGACACCCTGCTAGTGACATCGTGGAGGGGCAAGACAGGCAGGGGCTGCGATTCAGTCCTCCCTGTGTTGGGGGCCTGGCTTGGAGCTGTCCCCTCCAGGAAGCCCAGTGGGCTGCTGGGCTAGGTGTCCCCAAGAGCCCCGGGCACTGGACCCCTGGGCTCCCCTCTCCAGGGTGAAGCTGTGCTGTCCAGCTGCCCAGGTGAGGAGTGAGGCCCAGAGTGGGCGAGCCAACAGCCTGGAGTCACACAGCAGGCAGCAGGGTGACGGGGAACCAGGCCACTGTCACAGGGCTGGAGGGGAGCCACCAGGGGAGCTTCTGCCCAGGAAAAGGAGTGTGCAGAGGACCAGAGGGGGAACTGGAGAGGACCAGAGGGGGAATGTGCCCAGGACTCGGAGCCGCGAGAACCCAGCGGTGGGTCTCCGCCATCCTCTGCTCCGGTGTCCTCAGGTGCAAAGCTGGGACAGACACGGTCCCCTCAGGAGGAACAGGGGCCCCAGCAGCAGCTGGGACGCAGGCGGGCAGCAAGGTCCACCCCGGCCACGGCGCAGGGGGCAGAGGGCCCCAGGCCCCACCTGAAGGCCTCGATGAGCCGCTCCACTTTCTGGGCCTCGCCCTGGACCCGGATGTGGGCCTGGAACTTCCTGAGGGCCTCGTCCAGCTCCATGGCAGAGAAGTCCATCTCGTCCACCACGCAGCTGGAACACAAGACGCCCAGGCCGCGTGAGGGTCTCCCCGGGCACAGAGCCAGCCCTGGGCCTGGGACGGGCTGCGGGCAGGACTACTGGGAATTTTCCAGAAAGACCGCAGCCCCGGGAGCCTGCGACCCCTGAACTAGGAGCGTGGGGCCCACGGCCACTCTGAACCACCCTTTCCTGTGTGGCCAGCAGGGGCCACCTGTGTCCCTCAGGCACGGTCAGGGCGCCCCTCCCTGGAGACTGGCTCTCACCACAGGGCCCATGGGTGATGGGGTGGGCAGGGGCCAGCTGGTGGGTGGCCGTGTGTGACCTGATTGACCACAGCCCGGCCGCAGTGACCCCCAAACGGGCCAGGCGGGGTCTGCACCAGGAACCCTGCGGGTGGTGGCATTTCCCATGACCGGGCTCAGGCGTCCCGTCACCTCCAATGCGGCTGTGGCCGCAGTCACCGCCACCCGGCTGCAGGGCTTTGGGCCACCAAGGACTTGCTGCCTGCTCCCAGGGTCCTCCTGCACTGGGGATGGGCATTAGTGTGACTGCGTCCCCGTCCTCTGGGCAGCCTGGGTGGTACCCTCGGGGTGGCTGTGGCTGCAGAGGGACAGCAGGGAGCGAGCCGGGCGCTGCTGCCCTCGAGGAGGCCGGGTGGTGGTCAGAGCCTCGCGGCTTCCTGAGGCCACTGCTATTTTCTGACAGGAGGACAATGGCCGGATTTCCCCTGGCCAGGAGCCAGCCGGGGGGCGGCAGGGACATGGCGGGTGGCGCCCAAGCCCCTCACCAGGGGCCATCTGCTCTTCCTGCGCCGCTTCCTCCCTCCCACTGTCGGAAAGGGGCGAGAGGGACAATGACCGTGGCAGGTGACACTGGAGCTCCCTGGTTGAAGGAGAAGGCAGGGCCAGATGCAGGGGCCACTGAGGGCCTCCATGGACTGAGAGCCTCCACGGGTCACTGAGGACCCCATGGGCCACGGTCCTGCCCCCGGCATGGCTGAGAGGGAATGTGGGGTGCATCTCACGAGAGCTGCAGGCCACGTGGTCGTGTGGGCTTGGGGTGCCCGGCCAGCCCCTCCCTCGAAGCCTCGATGTCTTGGTGTGACACAGAGCAGGCCACCACTCCCAAGGACATGAGGCACACACCAACAGGGACACCGGTCTCTACTGGATGCAGGACACCCAGCCAGAGCTGGGGCCCAGACCTGCAGCTGCAGGCGCCCAGAGGTCCTGACACAGGAGGCCCCGAGAACGTGCGTCACTTGAGGGCGGGGACCCCTCAGGGCTAGGTGGACAGTCAGGCCAAGGGTGCAGAAGGGAGTCAGGCGAGGGGTCAGCGTGAGACCCATGGGCAAGCCCGGCAAGGAAGGTAAGTGAGCCCTGAGTCCTCAGATCCGACCGGCCAGGGACCCGAAATATTAAAACAAAAGAAAAACAAAAAACTTTGCTCGTGTTGAGCTGAGCAGTGGCACACGCCTGCCATCCCAGCGGCTCAGGAGGCTGAGGCAGGAGGATTGCAAGGTGGAGGCCAGCCTCAGCCACTCAGTGAGGCCCTGAGCAACTCAGCGAGACCCTGTCTCTTAATAAAATATAAAAAGGGCTGGGGACGGGGCTCAGGGGTGAAGCACCCCTGGGTTCAATCGCTGGTACCAAAAAAACCCCAAAAAACAGTAAAACCCAACTTTGCCCGCGAGGACCATGGACAGACTTGGGGGCTGTCTGTGCCCCACACCGCAGTCTGACCGCCACCTCAGACCAGGCAGGAGGCCACGCGAACCCCAGGGCACCTGACGTAGGGACTTGAGCACGGGATCCTGCCACCGCAGGCTCGGGAAGCAGCGCCCAGGACACCAGGGGACGCCCATGTGTGTGCGTGTCCCGGGGTGGTGACACAGCAGGGACAGCACATGCCTTTGGCCTGGGTCTGCGTCCCCGTGTCCCTGCGGTCCCCGGCCACTCACTCGAGCACGTCGCGGTTGAACTGCTTCTGCCGGTTGCCCAGGAACTCGCCGATCATCTGGCGGCTGAGACCCTTGCGCTGCAGCAGGAAGTGGGCCACGCCCACGGGGGTGTCGGGGACGAAGCCGCGTTCAGTGAGGTACTGCACGCCCTTCTCAGGCTTCCTGGGGACAAGATCAGGCTCAGCCACTGGAGGGGACGGCCACCTCCTCCCTCCTGCCCCCGCGGGCTGCTGCCTCCCTGCCACCCACAGAGTCGAGACCTCCCCTCACGGTGGCCAGAGTGACAGCCAGCACTGAACCAGGCCTGGGGTGGCCCTGGGACACTCCGGGGTGCTGGAGCGTGACCCAAGGTCGCGGCCTCACCCGCACACACCCAGAGTCGCCCAGCACAGCCCAGCAACCCCAACATGTGACAGTGACATCTTCCTGTCCCCATAGCGGCCCTGGGCCTACCAATTCCCTGAAACCCCACTCCTTGGGCTCAGCATTCAAGGCCCACGCGGGGCACGACTTCTACCACCGTCAGGAGCCCTGGGCAGTACTCAGGCCGCAGGGACGCCCTGAATAAGCACCATAAGGCGTGGCCCACCCCTGTCATCCCAGCAGCTGGGGAGGCTGAGGCAGGAGGATCGCCAGCTGGAGGCCAGCCTCAGCCACTCAGCGAGACCCAGTCTCTAAATAAAAACTAGAAAGAGCTGGGGACGGGGCTGCGTGATTCAATGCCCCTGGGTTCAATCCCTGGAACCAAAAAATGAAAACACCAAAACCTATCAGCAGCGTCCAGCTGCACGACTCGGGAGGGAAAGAGGCCCGAGAGGCCGACTGCCCAGGGAGGACGGCTCTGGGGCTGGGCCGCGTCTCCCGGTCTCCTCGCCCCTGCAGCCTCTAGAGCCCGAGGGGTGCAGAAGGCCAGGCCCCGTAGGGACGGCAGGAAGTGGGGACGGGGCTTGGGGCCTGGCGGCTGTGGGCAGGGCCTGGGGGTCCAGGTGGGTTCTGGGCACCGCTGGCCACCCCTCCTCTGGCCCACGGCCTCCCATGGTGGCAGGTCTGGCCTTGGCTAAGGGGCAGCACGGTCACAGGAGACAAGGTGGCGTGAGGCGCTGGAAGGGCCACACATGATCCTGGAGGGCGCATGGGCTGGGGGCTGCCAGGCCCTCTGGGAGCTGAGTGGTGTCCCCGCTGGTTGGGGCCCTTGGGCCAGCCTGGCTCCCTGTCCCCAGATGTGACTCGCTGAGGCCATCACGCAGCTGGTGCCTGCTGGGGACGACCACCTGCGAGCGACTGGTGTGGCCCAGTCCCCACTGGTCCCCGAGGACACCCCTCGCACTATCCACCACCTGAGGGCCTCAGGCGGTCACCCAGGTGGGCGGAGTGCAGGGCTCTGCTGTCCCCTGGGTGGCCACAGAGTCAAAGGCCGCTTCCCTCGCCAGCGGTGTGTGAGGCTCCTGGGGACAGCAGGAAGCCACCTCCTGGCCTCCAGGTGGCCCTGCTGTTGTACCCCAGGATGGCCACACACCTGAAACCCGTCCCCAGGAGGCTTACAGAGAGGAGACCATGGGGTGACCCTGCCCCCACAGCTGTTCGGGGCCGGGACCGCCTAGTCCCTCCAGGATGCTAACAGGGTGCCCGGCCGGGCCCAGCCTCCTCCCCTCCTGGGGATGTGCCCACATTCCCCTGCAGACCCCTATAGAGTCGGGGACCTGAGCGCCAGTCCCTCTGTCGGGTGGCTCAGGGCACAGTGGGAAAGGGGGAGGGGGCAAGCCATAAGGCTGTGGTGAGGCCATGGGGACACGGGCTCTCTGAGTCTGTGCCTGGCACAGAGCAGTGGGGACCGTGCCAGTAACACCCAGCACAGTGGCGGGCTGGGGCCCAGAGCCTGGCGCCGAGGGAGTCTGCGAAGGAACAGTCAGGGGGAGCAGAGAGGCCCCCTCTGAGCAGGGACCAAGGGACAGGCTCAGGAGTGGCTGGGAACTGTGGGTAGAGGCCCTGGGGGAGGGGGTTGTGGGACTGGAGACCCCGGGAGCTGTCGTGGGGCCTGGGGGAGGGGAGGGCAGGGCCGTGGTGGGCCAGGCCAGAGCAGGTGCCGGCTTCCTCCTGGGGGAGCAGGAGCCCAGCTCTGGGGAGTGAAGGGTCCGTTTCCACATTGAGACGAGGCCTGTGGCTGCTGAGACCCAGGGCCAGACCCCGGCCAGAGCCAAGCTGGTGGCCCCTGTGGCTTCCAGGGGTGGGTGGCCCGTGGAGGAGGGAGGAAAAGGGACTTAGGACCTGGTGACGGCAGAGGGCACATGTTGGCAGGTGGGTGTCTGTGTGCACCCACGCGTGTGAGTGCAGGGGTAGGTGGCCGGGGTGGGCAGGAGGGACCGAGTCACGATCCCAGGTGGCCCCAGGCCAGGGCAGGAAGGACGGATCCCGCCCGACTCGGCAGAAGCAAGGAACCAAAGCCGGGTACCGAGGACCCTGGGGGGATGGCAGGTGACACGGCTGGAGAGGCAGGCCAGGAGCCCTGAACGGCTTCCGGCCGAGGAGACCAGCCTTAGAGTGTGACCCTGGTGGTGGCAGCCAGTGCCCCAGACACTTCCAGGGCGAATCCCCTGTCCGGGGACCTTGCTGGTGTCCCCTCCCACAGGGAGGCCCCCTGTCCAGTGCAGACCAGGCCCTACAGGGCGATCTCCTCGCCCACCGTCCCTGCATAGCCCTGTGCTCTGTGCCCAAGGGACACGCACCTCACAGGCTCTGCAACGTGTCCCATGGGACCAGCCGCGGCTGCCACCCAGTCCCCTCGGCCTCTTCCTGTCACAGAGCCGCATTGTCCCACCCCTGTCCAGGGCGGGAGCGGTGGGCCAGCCCTGCCTACTGGACGGTGAGCGGAGGGCGCATGTGCCACTCCTAGGGACGGCAGTGCGACCCCTGCAGTCTCCCTTACTGGTCACCCGAGCACCCGCTGAGGGCCAGGCATGGTGCCAGGGGACATCCTCATCAGAGTGACACAAAGGAGGGAGGTACAATCCAAGCACCCAGGGATGGACGGCAGCGTTGGCGTCTTGGGCATGGCCCCAGGGGCCAAGTCTGGCCGACCAGCTGGGTGACCTAGGGCTAGTTCCTGAACCTCTCTGTGCCTGTGTTCTGGGGCTGGCTCGGTGCACACGTCAGTCACTGGGAAGAGTCAACAAGCTTGTCCACAAAGCACATGTCCCCAGCCCTCAGAGGCGCTCTGGCCACAGGGCCGAGCTAACCTCAGGACGCCCCAGGGACCCGGAGGAGGTGTCAACTTTAGATGGGCCGAGGGGACAGGCAGGAAGAGGCTCCTTGAGGAGGTGGCCCTGAACGGGAGCAAGAAGAACAGGAAGAAGGTTCCTGGTGGACAGAAGGACCACTGCAAAAGCCTCAGCGGACAGACACTTCCATCAGGGCACAGAGAGGTCAAGGCACTTAGCTCCAGGGCGCCCAGCAAGATGAAAGTGCTGGACTGTGAGCCCCTCCTCCGCCCTGGGAAGCCCCAGAAAATGCCGTCCCTGCCACTCCGAGGCGGCCCTGTCCAGCAGGTTCTGAGCGCCCCACGGCTCTCTCCGCCAGTGTCGCCGTCCCCAGCTGCCAAGTGTCGGGAATGGCCCAGGCCAGCCCCTGCTGTCTGCGCCCGGGTCAGCCCCGTGCCTCCCCTGAGGCTGGCAGGGGACACCTCCCTGACATCTGATACTGACCCAGAGTCCAGTGCCACCAGGAGCCAGGACCGTGCAGTCACCTGCCCCTGAGCCACTCAAGGGCCACTGGGCAAGAGGGAGCCACAGCAGACTCCAGGCAAGAGCAGGCCCTGCACCCATCCAGGTCTGAGCTGCCCGCGAAGAGCATCCCTGCCGGGAGCCCCTGGACCTTCCACCCCACCCCTCCAGCGAGCTGTGTCCCCATGACCCAGTGGCCGTCTTCATCCCTGGCCTCAGGCCTGACAGAGACCACTTCCTGCTGGCCACAGGAAGTGGCCCTGGGAGCCGACCTGGCGCCAGCAGGAGCCTGCAGGGGCAGGGACCCCACTTCCTGCGCGGGCTGGGGACCGCTGGTGGCCCTGCTGCCCTGGACAGGGCTGCAGCTGGGGACCAGGGAAGCCCCTTTGGTCAAACTGGTGTGAGCAGGTCCCTGTGCCCTGCGATGCAAAGGCCCCTGACCCAGAGGGAGGCCAAGGGTCCCCCAGGCCACAGGCTGAGCAGGCTACGTGCAGAGACCCCGCATGCCCGGAAGGGCCTTTTGGAGGGATCCAGGTCCTGCAGGGACAGTCACCTCCCTTCTGCCCACCCACCTGCAGGGCCAGCAGCGCCCCCTCCCGCGGCCCCTACTCTATCCACTCTGACGCCCACACAGGGGACCCAAGTGGGACGATCATCTCCTGACCACAGGTGGCAGGTCCTGCACCCTGGACACCGTCCTCCCCACTGGGGGCTCAACACTGTGACCCCAGGCCCAGGGACAATGGGGTCTGGACATGGTGAGAAGCACTGGCCACATGGCCCCCGCCCAGGAAGGGGAGACCAGCTCCAAAGACCCACTCCCCGTACTCCCGAGGGCCACTGTGAAGCAGAGGGCGTGACCGTGGCCTTGGGCCCAGCCCCGGGTCCCCCTGCCCCACCCTGCGGTGGCTGCAGCAGGCTGCAGGGTCCCCAGAGGTGGCGAGCACAGGGACCGAGCACTGGAGGAGGACTGTCCCCAAACAGGACCCCAGGCTGGAAGGGCCGCGGAGGCCCGTGCGCAGCTCCAAGCTCCACAGGGGTCCTGCCACTGTCACCCCAGGGGCCACCAGGCCAGGATGGGATGAACACAGCCAGGCACGTGCCCTGGGTCACAGGAGTGGCCCCGGGGTGGACCTCAGTGCCACTGGCAAGCGGGATGTGACAGGCCGAGGTCCCTGCTGCTCACCGCGGAGCGCTGTGCTGACACCGGCTCCCTCGAGTGGGCAATTCTGCTCCTGGTCTCAGTTCAGACCTGTCCCCAGGGCAAGGGCCTGACTCCATCGTGGACGCCATCCCGACACCGTGGCTTTCACAGGTGTGTTCGGGAACTGGGGACTCAGGTCCCACGGCTGGTCAGTGGCAGAGCCAGCCCCCTCCTGGACACGGTCAGGGGTCAGGGCCCGGCTCAAGGCCACAGTGATGCCTGAGTCCCCTCCCCCTTCCTCCTCAAGCTGCTGGCCAGATGTGTGGCCAGGGGCAGGGGCAGGACACCTGGGGACATCTGGACACTGGCCTTGGCAGCCTCCTGGGCTGGTGGGCCCTCCCACCGAGGGTCCCCTCTGCAGGCCCTCAGACCCCGGGCAAGGGTCAGCACCAGCTGCGGCTTCCCCTCCACAGGGGACCTGCCAGCCTGTCCAGACCCTGGCCATGCCCTCGCGAGCTGCCCCCAGGGCCCACGTGCAGAGGGGGCCAGCTGGTCTGGAGGTGGGACAGGGCCGGGCTGGGACCAGGGCTCAGTGCGCACCCTCTGCCACCCGGGCACTGCCTGGAGGGGCGAAGGGGTCTGCGCCACCCATGGCCCGGCCAGCGAGGCCCGCGCACCAGAGGCTCCTCACACAGCGGAAACGCACCCAGTGGATGCTGACCCCTCGGCCTGGGCCAGCCCCACTCCAGAGCATCTGCAGGGATGGGACTGTCCACCCACACGTGATGCGGGAGCCTCTTCCAGGTGACCAGTGCCCCTGAGGGACGGATCAACCTTCGTCCTCTTTAATACACGCAGCCACCTACAGGTGGGCCTCCCATCCTCCCCGCCGAGTGCGTAAAGAGGTTAAGTTTCCCCGGTTCACCTCTGAGCTCCAGGCCGGGCCAGCAGCCAGCAGAGCTGGTCAGGCACCTTCCTGAGCTGGTCCTAAGTCCCCAGGGAGAACTAGTAACGAGAAAGACCCCCGTTCAGATCCAGAGCTGGGTGCAGGGCGCACGCCTGTAGATCTGGCAACTTGGAGGCCGAGGCAGGAGGATGGCAAGTTCGAGGCCAGCCTCAGCCACTCAGCAAGATGCTGTCACTACAAGAACTTTTTTTTTAAAAGGGATTGGGGATGTCCTTTGGACACTTCCCATGGGTCCATCCGATGAGATGTGAGCTACCCAGAAAGACAGGAGAGTTAGAGATGGACAGAAAAGATTCAGGTCCTTAAGTACCCATGGGGGACAGGTCTCTGATGTTCCCGGATGGGGCAGTCATGTCATGTCCACATCCGCGGCCCCAAGGAGGCCACACATAATGGCATCTGATGACCCCCCCACCCCAGAGGTGGGGGGGGATGGAAATGACTCAACCTGAGGTTTCAGGAGAGGCTGTGGCGGGCCTCCCCTCAGCCTCCGGGAGGCCAGGCTGCCAGTGCCCCCCCCCCCCGCCCGCTCGCTGTCCCCCAATGGACCCCGCCCGTGCAATACTGCTCCGTGCTGTCCCCCAGCCCCGCCTCCGCGCCATCCCCCGGCCCTGTCCCAGTCCCCAAGGGCCTCACTTGTTGAAGAGGTTGAGGCCGATGCGGTAGTGCCTCTTGCGCACCACGTCGTGGCTGAAGGCGGGCGAGTCCCAGCTGTGGCGCGCCTCCTTGTGGTAGGAGGGCTTGCTCAGCGCCTGCTCCCGCAGGCTGTCGCGCGACGACGACTCGGAGCTGCAGTGGATGGTGTCGTTGGAGTTGGACGTGCTGTTGATGCTGTCGTTGTCGCCGTCCGAGTAGTCCGACTCCGACTTGCTCTGCCGGTTGGCCGAGCCATTGATGGCCAGGTGGCCCTCCAAGGGCCGCGGCGGCCGGGTGCGGGGCTCGGGCTCGTCGCGGGTCCCCTTGACGCCGTGCGCGATGCGCTTGGGGCTGCCCTGTGGCCCGACCCGGCCGCGCTCGTAGGCGCCCGACCTCTGCAGCGAGCCTCGCTCCGAGCGGTCGCTGAGGTCGGCCGAGCTGTCGCTGGGCGGCTCGATGGTCAGCAGGGGCAGGCGCCCGGCGCGCAGCCGCGGCTCGGGTCGCTCCAGGGACGCCGTGCCACCCGCATCCGCGTCCGCGCGCTCCTCGGGCGTCGCCAGCGCCCAATAGTCCGCGGCCGCGCCACCCGCCCGGAGCCGCGAGTCCGACTCCGCGCTGGACGGTCGGTCCCCGGCCTGCGACAGCGGCAGGGGCGGCGACAGCTCCTCCTCGTCGATGTAGAGCGTGACGTCGCTGTAGGAGGCTGTCATCTCGTCCAGCTTGTGAGGGTCTAAGCCGTGCAAGGCCGGGGGCGGCTCGCTGTCGCGGGCGCGGGCCACCTCGGCCACGGGCGCCTCCTCGGCGTGCAGGCTGCGACAATTGAGGGCGTCGTCGATGGACTCAGCCAGCGACTTCACCTGCCGGGAAAAGGCGTCCTCCAACTCCGTGATGGCGTCCGCGAAGTCGCCGGCGGGGGCCGCGGGGGGCAGCGCGGCGGGCGGCTCCCCCAGCTCCGCGCACTCGGCGGGCACCAGGGTCCCCAGCGGGGCGCCGTCGTTGGTCACCGAGACCTGCTTGCCCTCGAAGTAGGAGCTGTGCAGCTTCTCGGGACCCTCGAAGGAGAACTGCATCCGCATGTTGGACAGCACGATGCGGCGCGACATGCGGCTCTCGGACATGGAGCTGCGCAGGCGCTCAAAGTTCTTGTTCATCTGGTACTGGCGGAAGGCCGTCTGGATGGTGCGCGCCGCATGGCGGGTCACCAGGCGCCCCCCATACTTGCGCTCCAGCATCTCCACCTGGCGGGAAGCAGAGAGTGAGGCCGCCCTGTCCCCAGCTCACCCACCCCCGCCCTCGGGTTCCAAGATGGAGCCCAGGGGCGCTTACCCACCGAGCCACCTCCCTGAGCCCCGTCCCCAGCCCTTTTTATATTAATAAAATATAAAAGGGTCTCGCGGAGTTGCTTAGGGTCTTGCTAAGTGGCTGAGGCTGGCCTCCACTTTCGATCCTCCTGCCTCAGCCTCCCCAGCAGCTGTGATGACAGGCGTGCGCCACCGCACCAGCCTTCTCCTTATTCTATAGGAATGGGACCTGTGAGGGCCTCACCGTGTCCCCAGACAACTGCTGGGGAGGGCCTGTGGATTCTGGGGTCAAAGGGGAGGCATGGGCGGCCCTGCAGGGCTTCTCAGAGCCTCTCAAGGTGGCGGGAGACCACACTGAGGTTTCCAAACGGCCTGAGTCACAGATGCCGTGGGTCCTGGCACATCTTAGGGTACAGCCTGATCAAACCCCTCCAGAGATGCCGGCAGGGGTGAAGCCAGCCCCCTGGGGGCTGGGGACCTGAGGCAGGTCAGGGCATGTGCCAAACACCCCAGCAAGGCCCAAGCGCTGAGGACAGGCACCAGGGTTCAAGGCCAAGTGCCTGGCTGTAACCCTGCCTCTGTCCCCGGGAACCGCGGGGCTCCCCAGTTTCCCCATCTGGAAAGTGGGACCTGCCTCCTGGGCCTCACACCCCAAGCACGGGGTCCGCAGCTGTGCAGACCCCAGCTGAGTGGCTGAGGCTGGCCTTGAACTCGTGATCCTCCTGCAGCTGAGCCTGTGCTGTGAGCCCTCAGCACCCCCTGCGTAGGCGGGCAAACTGAGGCCCAGAAGGACGGGCCCCCAGCTCCAGCGGCCTGCACCAGACCTGGGCCAAAAGGCGGGCAGCCCAGCCGTCCTGGGCCGCAGGAGGGGGCAGGGCAGAGGACGGGCTCAGGGCCTGGGGATCAGGGCCCGGGGGTGGCAGGGACAGCAGTTTCTCTCCTGCTCTGAGCTGCTGGACACCACCCAGGGCACCACCTGCTCCCAGGAGCCAGCTGAGCCCCGTCCTGGGGGTTGCCAGTGGACCCCGCGAATCCTGGGGCCACTCAAGGCCCGAGGCCAAGCGTTAGGAAAGCCCTTCCGGTCCCTAAGGCCCAAGGGTCCCTGGCTCCTCCTGCCAGGCCTGGACGGGGTGTCCCAAACACCAGGCGCTCCAGGCCCCTCTCCTGCCAGCCTGGGCAGGCGGTCACCTGCTTCCTCAGCTCTCCTCCCAAGTGCGTGTGTGACAGAAACTTCCAGAAGGTACACAGTCTCTGCACTGAGTCACCAAGCAGGCCACACTGGGCCAGGCCAGGCCAACCCGCCAGGTCAGTCTGCGTCCTGGAACCTGGGGAAGCAGCCGGCAGCCCAGGGGCCTCACACCACCTCCTGGGCTCTCAGATCGGCAGGGAGGAGTGACCGGCAGCAGGGGACACATGGTGCCAGAGAAGGCCCTGTGGCCAGGGCTGTGGCTCTGGCTCTCACTCACCCGAGGGAAACTTCTGGAACAGTGTCAATAAGGAACCGAGAGGAATGCTCACCCACAAAGCAGAACTGCCACCTCTCAAAGACTTGGGGACATTCCCCGACACCCACCCAGGCTCTGCTCTCAGGGACAGGAAAGCCCCAGAAGGCGTGCAGGGCCAGAGGCCAGGGGATGCATGCAACCTCCCTGGGGCTCCCCTATCCCTCTGAGGCTCCTCTCACTCCCCCGGGCTCCTCTCACTACGGCGGTGCCGTGTCCCCTGATGATGACCTCTTGTGGAATGGAGCACCCACTCGCCTCAGGCGGTGCTCATGCCGTCTGCCGATTCCCGTTTTTACCTTGCCTGCTGGGAAGCTCAATGGAGCCTGGCCTGCTCTGTGCCTGTCACCTTGTCTCTTGTCTCTGCACCACTTGTTCCCTTTGCAGTCCTCACACACACCAAGCTCAGGTACCTCGGGACTTTTGCAGCTGCTGTCACCTCTTTGGGGAATACCCAGTTCTCACGTCCACCCCCTTATTTGACGCTGCCACCACCCAGAGCTACTCTATTTGTATTCTTTTTTGGGTACTAGGGGTGCTTAACCCCTGAGCCCTGTCCCCAGCCCTTTTTATTTTGAGACAGGGTGTTGCTGAGTTGCTTAGGGTCTTGCTAAGTTGCTGAGGCTGGCCTCTAATTTGCAATCCTCCTGCCTCAGCCTCCAAGTCGCTGGGATGACAGGTGTGCGCCCACCATGCCCAGCAAGCCACTCTCTTTCCCCCAATTTTAAGGCCCTTTCCAGAACTAAACTGACCCTTTTTGCAGGGCTGCGCCTCACATGCTGGGAGGGCTCTGTGACACCCAGGGTCCCTCCTGCTGCCTTACCCTGCCCATCATCTTAGCAGGGACAGGGACACTCCTCTGTCCCCCTCAACCCCAAGAGGCTGCCTCTTAGCTGGGCGCGGTGGCCCACACCTGTCATCCCAGTGGCTCGGGGGGCTGAGGCAGGAGGATCGTGAGCTCCAAGCCAGCCTCAGCAACAGGGAGGCCCTGAGCAGCTCAGTGAGGCCCTGTCTCTCAATAAAATGCAAAATAGGGCTGGAAGGGACTTGAAGGCCCCTCTGATGCCGTGGAGCCCACAGGGGGAGGCCAGGCGCACCTGGTCTGCACGCGGTGTCCACTCTCGGGGGGCTTGGTCCTGGCCTCTGAGGAAGGAGGATGGCATTAACCCCACCTACCTGCTTGTCCTGCAGGTCTGAGGACAGCTCATAGCTCTCGGAGAGTGACCGCGAGCGCTTGATGGCGTCCTCCTCGGCCTGCTTGCGCAGGATGGACGTGGAGTGCTGCAGCCGGGGTCTCCGTGGGCGCTGCGGCCCCGCGTGCAGCCCATAGGTGCCGGGCGTGAGCTCGCAGTGCTCCGGGCTGAGGCTGGCCCCGGGCACTAGCGGGCCCTGGTGGTAGGCCGCAGCGCTGTCCAGGGACGTGCCGGTCTCACTGCTGGGGGCCTCGCCCTCGACGCTGCAGGGGGAGAGAAGTGTCCTGTGAGCCGGCATCGGGGACCCGGGCGCCACCTGGCCAGGCACCTGCTGCCCGCTCCCCGGCCCACGATGGCGTCCCCACGCGCCTGAGGGACCCCGAGGAGACCCTGAGCAACACCATCCTGTGGATCCCGGCCACCCACGGGCTTCGTGTCCTCAGTCAGATCTGTCCCTCTCCAGCAGCCACCGACGCCACGGAGTGGCTTTGTTTATGTGAGACTTCCCCGGGGACAACGAGCGGTATGGCCCCGCGACTGCTGGCAACTCAGTCTGGCACACAGTAGGTGCTCAGTAAATACGGTCAGTCCCTCTCTGTCACCACCTGGATTCTATACGCCCCCAGGGCCTTCTCTGAGTGGCTGAGGCTGGCCTCCAACTTGCAATCCTCCTGCCTCAGCCTCCCAAGTAGCTGGGATCACAGGCGTGGGCCACGGCACCCGGCCTGAGAGGTCTTCACCAGGCAACTAAGTCAAAACAGGGACATTAGGGTGGACCCTGGTACAATAGGGAGGAGATCAGGACACAGATGGGCAGGGTGGGGGGCCACGTGGAGACACGGGAGGCGCCCTCCACAAGCCCAGGAGACGGGCCTGCCAGAGCCAGCCGGGCCCACGCCCCATCCCCTGACCTCCAGCCGCAAGACAGCAGTGTCCCCGGCACCTGGCCTGTGGCACTGTCCGGGCTGGGAACTGGGCACCAGGTTCTGCAGACATTTTCCTTAACCCTTAGAAGGAGGATGGCAGGGGCCACCTACAGGGAGAAGACCCTGCCCAAGCCACCAGCACTGAGCGGGCAGTGGGCCAGAGCCCGGGGTGGCCGCCGGGACCTGCTGCCTCTCACGCCCTGTGTCCAGCACACCCCTGACCCCTGCACAGCGGTGGCAGTGCAGGGTCAGCCAGGGGGACAGTGGGTGGGGACAGCCAGTGGGGACAGCCGGGCCCACAGGGTGACTCATCCCGACTCTGGGACTCGACACTTTTCATTCTGTGCAGATGCTGGGCCCCCCGTGGACAGCTTTCCAGCAAGGGACAGGCCAGAAGGAAGACATGGACACACGTCACCAGTGTGACCTCTTGTCCCCCTGCCAGGTACCCTGTGCCCGGGACATTACTCAACCCAGGGCTGGAAGGGACTTGAAGACCCCTGTGGTCCCTGGGGCAGGGTGGAGGTCTCAGTGGAAGTGGCCCAGGAGGACAGGGGACCCAGGGGCCACCCAGGCGGTGGGAACGCCCTGCATTCAACAGCTGGCCAACTGGTCTACCCGGGCCCCGCCCTGTTCCTGCTGCCCTCGGGGCTGCGGGACTCCACTGCCCACTGTCAGCTCCCGGGAGGGCCTGGCCGAGACCCGGGGTGAGGCCCGGAAGGAGGCCGGCAGAGCTGGTGTAGGGGGAGCCTGGCCCCGGATCCAGGTCCACCCTGAGCCAGGGCCACCAGCCAATCTCAGCTCTCGCTGACTGGCTGACATGGAGGGACAGAGTATCCACTCCAGCCATGGGCTCTGGCCTCCAGGGACATCCCATCTCGTCCCCAGGGGCTCGGGTGTCAGGGCACATGTCGTTTAGGCCTGGCCTGGCCTCTGCCTGGCTGTGACCATGGCCATGCCCCGCCTCTGCAGGCCTCAGCTTCCCCTCAAGGACGCCAAGGTGGCTCCCCTTTGAGATCCCCCAACCTCTGAAGAGCCACCGTCCCTTCTCCCCTGCACCCACCACTTCCTCTGGGCCAGTGCATAGGATGGATGGGGCCACCTAACACTCTGCCTGGTGCCCGGCCACAAAACCGCGTTCCTCTACTGACCGTCTGCAGGAGGGAGCGAACCACCACTCTTGATCTCAGGCCTTTACTCCTCAGAGGATGGAGGACAAAGCCCAGCCCATGCTGCCTGGCCTCCAGATCCAGCCTCCAGGCCCAGCCTCCAGACCCAGCCTCTAGACCCAGCCCCCAGTGGGGCCCGTACTCTGTGGCCTGGTCTGTGCAGCCTGTTAGGACATCACAGCACCTGCGTCCCCTGCTGTGTTTCAGTCGGAGGCCAAATCTGTGTCTCTGAGCCCAAGGCTGATGGGAGACACGGCCTTGAACTGGGGGAGACTCAGCCAGGCTCCCAGGCAAGAGAGGGGACTCAGTGGTCCTCGAGGCTGAGTGAGCGGCATCCAGGAGACGGACGGGTCTCCTCGGGGTCCCTGAGTGGAGCCTGAAGCCCTTGGAGGCACTGAACTCGTGGAAGGGAGCGTGACCCCGAGTGGCCACCAGCAGTCCAGGGCTCAGGACCAAGGCCCAGCCTGGGACTGCGTGGGGCTGGCCTCCCCCAGCCTGGCTGCGTGGCGGGGACACGGCAGGACATCAGCGTGGGTGTCCTCTGCCCTAGAGGGAGGCGTAGGGCCTGGGAAGGGGCCCTTTGAGATACGAGGTGGAAGTACTTAGGGGCTGTGCAGCCCAGAGGTCCTGCTCTGTGACGCTGGGGACCAGCAGGTTCCAGAATGTTCTAGGGAGAAAGAACCAGGGCTCTCCTTAAGAGCATCCTCTCCAGAAAGGGAGGTTCTGACAGTCACCCCCAGCCTGCCCCTTGACCCCTGGGCAGCATCCCTTTCCTCCTACCCCGCAGCCAAGGCCAAGTGCATTCAGCTGTCACCAAGTCTGGTCAAAAGTCTACGCAGAAGCCAGGTGCAGTGGTGCACGCGTCATCCCAGCAGCTTGGGAGGCTGGGGCAGGAGGATCACAAGTTGGAGGCCAGCCTCAGCAATTTAGAGAGAAGCACTAAGCAATTCAGTGAGGCCCTGTCTCTAAATAAAATACAAGGTACAGCTGGGGACAGGGCTCAGTGGCCGAGTGTCCCTGAGTTCAATCCCTGGTACCAAAAAAGAAAAAAAAAAAATCTATGCAGATGGCGTCCCCAGGGGTGGGACACGGTGTCCCCAGGGGTGGGCTTGGCGCCCTTCCGAACTGCAGGGAGAACAAAGCAGAAAACTAATCGCAAATGGATCCAAATGTCCCAACATGACAGGGGACACCCAGGGGACCCGCACGGCCCCGGGCTCACAGCCGGTAGCCAGCAGGGGGGGGACTCCTCTGTGATCTTGGAGGACCCTGTCTGACGCGGAGGACGTCCGTGCCCCCAGCAGCCACCCGAGTGCGACGCCTGCGTCAGAGATGACCAGAGCTGATGAGCAGAACGGTCAGTGCCGCCTGTCGACAAGCCCGGGCAGTCGAGGGAGGGGTCGCGATTAGCATCTAGTTGGTGGCCCCCGGTCAGGAAGTCACCAGATTTCATTCCCGGAGGTTGGGCTGCCCGTGGCTCCTCCTGCCTCCTGATTAGGAGGCCACTCTGCCCAGTTTCTTCCTGGGGGGGAGGGGGACTGTCCAAAATGTCATATAACTGTGACTCTTTCCCTCCCAGGCAGAGGGGCAGATGCCCTAAAGACTCAGAGCTCTAAAATGAGGCTCATGTGCTGGCCACAGTGGCCCACGCCTGTCATTCAGTGGCTTGGGAGGCTGAGGCAGGAGGATCACAAGTTGGAGGCCAGCCTCAGCAAAAGTGAGGCCCTAAATAACTGTCCCTAAATATAATACAGAATGGGGCTGGGGAGGTGGCCCCGTGGTCGAGGGCCCTTGGGTTCAATCCCCAGTGGGCTTCCCAGCTGAGGGCGGTGGCGCACGCCTTTGATCCCAGCAGTTTGGGAGGCAGAGGCAGGAGGATTGCCGATTGGAGGCCAGCCTCAGCCACTGAGGGAGACCCTAACAAAAAAATCAATAAGGAGGCTGGGGGCTGAGGCCCAGGGGGCTCAACCTCCAGGACCCAGGGAGACCGGCTTAGAAGCCACGTTCACTGGGCGGCCACGCATGTTTGACTCGGGTTCCCGGGACACGGGCCGAGTGGCGTTGGTCCCTGGAGGTGCCCAGGTCAGGCCCCTGCGGAGCTCTGTCCCCAAGCCTGCGCCATCAGATGGCCCTCCACGGCCCCACGAGCGTCCTGCACGGCACCCCAGTGACCATCTGTGACGACACGGGCCACGCACAGCTCGAGCCACGGGCAGGACAGTCCTGGTCCCTGGCGATGCCCGGCATTTTAGAGTTTCTGGAACGTTCTCTGGCAGTTGGGCGGCCCCACGTTCTCAGAGGAGGCTCCGGGTGCGGGGCCCTTCCCGGGGATTTCCCCCAAGGACGGACGCCCAGGCGCAGGGAGGTGACCGAGGACGCTTCCCTGTCACAGGCGTGGCTGGACCTGATGCCCTGCGCCACCAGGGACCTGGTGGCCCTTCCCACACCAAGGACACGAGGCCAGCGGCGGGGGATGCGTCTGGGTCGCGGGAAGTCAGAGGGGAAGCCACTGCTAGGTGAGCAGCCGGAGAAGCCACCAGAAGCCACACTGGCCACCAGCCCCAGTGTCGGGTCACAGTGGACGGCGGCTGGGTCCCTGAGCCCCAGAAGCTGGCGCACTCATGTCACCTCCTCCCTGCCCCGGCATATGCGCCCCGGGACCAGGGTCCCCTGCAGCACAGCGGGCCAACGGGGGGACCGGAGATGGCCACCAAAGCAGTGGGGACCACCACCTGAGGGAGGCAGCCGGGGCGGTCACCATCCACGGTGACCACAGGCTCTCCTTAGCGAAGGACGCCACGCCCCACGGTGTCCCCGAGGTGAGGAAGGGGCTCAGGACTGAGCGCTGTCACGAGGTGTGCAAGCCACAGCTGTCGGGTCCCCACAGGACAGGGGCCAAGGGGACGTCCCCCACCGCCAGTGCCACGGGGCCTCTGTGATCCTGCCCCGTCCCCTGTGCTCCCTGGCCTCTGGGGAGTCGCACGAGGGCCCCTTGGGGACCACCGCTGCCTGCTTCCTCTCCCTGTGGCTGTGGGGCAGCAGGGGACAGCAGTGGGGGGCGTGACCAGCCCTGGCCTCCAGCAAAGGCAGCAGTGACCAAGGGGAGGAGGGACCGTGTCCAAGACGGGCACAGGCTGGACGGCAGGAGCCCGGGCTGGGCGGCCCCAC